AATAGCTTTTAGGAGTTATGGGTGCAGCCTAGATTTTGACATCAGTGTTTTTGGGTAAATCTTTTTCAAGTGCGTTAAAATCATTCCATCTTTCAATTTGATAAAATCAACTTACAGAATATGAATAATACAGAGGGTTTTAATTTTATTAGATTAAGGATGAAATTTTTCGTACTAACTCATCTATATTTTACAAATGATGATCTAAAAACCACCAAGTCGATAATGGCTCTTGTTTTCAATATAAACAAACAGGGACTAAAGGAATTTGATAAACCTGCTAATCTTTCTTAGAGGACTTAACCATGTTTTTTCACGAAAATTAGAAATATAAGCAAAACTACAAACATTGAGTATTTATAAAAACCATACTTTTACGTACGTATAAAAAAATGCACTTAAAAAGCATAGATTTTTGTTTAAAGTTTAGTATTTAAGAATTCATCTTAATTTGATGTTAGGTTTTCGCGGTGAAGGCTTAATCATCTTAAATCTGCAAATTGTTGGGCAATTCGAGATCTTCTAGCATGATTTCATATGTGCAATAAGTTGGCCTAGCGTTTTTAAGTGCACAAAGTTTCATTGTTTTCACTATATCAACTCTATCGATAAAACGAACGCCATTCAATATTTTCTTCGTAATTTTTTTTATGCGAAATCCAGAGAAAATCTCTATTTTCCTTTCACCCTATCAATTCCTATAGAAATATCTAAATTGATGTTTAAAACGGGAGCCGATTATGTCTCGATAAAAGTTAATCCTTTCAAATGGAAGGTTTATTTCTGGTATCTGTGAGACTGATACGTCTTTACTTTCCGAAAGTCGGTGTACGATGATGATCGAGGTAAGAGTAATTTCCCTGTGAAACGGGATCTATGCATGTGTGGAAGTCGAGTAGCGGTACGTTCAATGAAAAAAKCAAAATTACCCTTCCAAACGGCCGGGCATAGATTTACCGCGACAAGAATAATTGATATATTGATCAATTGATAGACTACCATATCGGGTATAACGGGYAAATGAAATGAAAGTGACTTATTTCAACGGTTTGACAATATCGACTGCCAGCAAACGCAAATTCGCCACATTTTCGAACAGCAYAAATAACTGTAAGTTTAGAGGAATTCCTGTAAGAATTGACAATTTTGAAGAATTTATCAGATGCTTTTGGATGACCAAATAATGTATTAAATCAGCTGATGAAACCATTTTGGCATCGAAAAATGAACATGATCTCTTTTCTAAGCCTGTAAAACTGAAAGCGGACCTCTTTTTCAGTCCCGGCTTGAGCGCAGTCAAAAAAATATGATTGTTCTTTTCGGATACCCTCAAAATAGAAAGAATTCTACTCAAGTTTAAATTCATTTTCATTTCAAAAGTTAACTAATTCTTCTTAGAATTATCTTTTTGCGAATCTAGTTTGGTTGTTTTCAATTTTTGAAGCGCGCGTGCAATTCTTTGAGGCATAAAATCCTTTGTAAACACCATTGGTAGGTTTTCGTGTACTAAGGCTTTATTTAATTGTATATTTGTAAACTCTATAAAGATAACATCTGCAGTGTTGCTAATTGTGATGTGCTCTCTGCAATTGGGTAACTATGGTCAATCTTTTGCTGTGTCCGATATGAAGAAAGTTGATCTCCGCGCGATACTGCCCCTGCATTCAACACATGCAAACATTTGGCTTGTTTATTATGATCTATAGGGCTTAACACTATTTTAAGATGGATTAAACACTTTTACTTCAGAGGTCTTTTTAACAGCTAAAAGAGCTCATTATGTTAAAATTCATTGCTTCACTTCATAGCCTTAGATCCCACTTTTGTAACTTAACCATATCCTAAGCTTCTTTGCGTTGAGAAATACTCTYAAAGGTTAATCCTTTTTGTTCAATTCATTCTAAAATTGCAAAATATAAGAGCGTTTTTTTTATAAAGATAATCATGTCTGAGCGCTTTTTGATAGTACCGCGTTGTTTTAGTTTGTAATGGTCTCTTTGCCGCGGTGCAAAGTAGCTTAATGTTAGCAACGTTCTATAGTGCAATCAGTGTTCGTAAATACAAAGACATCACACAGATATATACATATGCTAATAAGGTTTTAATACACTATAATAATTGTTTTGTGTTTGAACTACATTACTGAGGCAATTTCGTGTGCCCACTGCCTGGGTTACCATTCGATCAAGGTCGAAGTAAAGAGAAAATTAACTTTGACGTTTCTTCAAGGGTTTGGGCGTGTAGAATAAACACACTTTAGTCAAACGCATTACCTTGGGAGCGCGAGAGGGCGACAGTTTGTGTGCTAAACTGTTACTTAGTTGTCGACGCGTATAGAGTAGTTCCATTTGTGCCTCCTTAACTCGCAAGCGCAATAAGTGGTCAAATTGTAAACTTGTCAAAAAGGGGGAAACCGGTTTGTTGAATCAGGCTCAGTTCGAAAATGGTGTCGTTTGAGTGGCGTGCGGGGATTTCTATTTTATGAACCTGCGTCTCTTAGCTCTAACAGCCAACTGTAGAAGTAAAATATTTGTTGCCGCTTGTCTTCATGTGTACTTTAACATAAAGACTTCGACTTTTTATTCATATTTCAGTTTGCTTTGCGACTGACTATGGACTTGTTCTAATTGATTCTTAATTACCACATTGTGGACTAGTTTCTATTTTTACATGGGAAATTTCTCTCGCTTTTCGGATGTAACTTTACAATTGATAAAAATCACTACATAGTTTTTGTTTTGTAAAAAAACCCTCCGAATTCTAAAAAAAAAAAAAAAAAAATTAGTGTCATCATTTTCCAGAAATATATCTTTAAATTTTGTAACTGAGAAGTGGTTTTGAATGATATTGGAAAACAAGTTTGACTTTTGACGAAGGTGGCTTCCCCTCTCGGAGATATTAAAGACCAGAGCAATTTTTTTAGGCCCTTTTAGTAGGGTATTGCAATGTAAATGAACTTGATTGTTTAGTTTATTTCTTCATTTATTTTTCATTTTTCATAATTTATGGCAATGAATAGTTTTTGGTACTGTTTTGTGCTGTGTATGTATAATTTAATGTATTTAGCAAAAACATTTTTAGTGTATACACAAGTATTTTTAAATCAAAGTTTATTAAGTAAAAATAAAAGTTATCCAGATCTATAGAAGGCTGAAATTTTGCAATCAACAATATTTTGCAAGTACTAAACATGGGAATGAAAATCGAAAAGAAATAACATAATCAATATGCAAAATAAAAATGAGACGAAAGTAAAAAAAAAAAATAGAAATAAAATCAATAAAAGATTTAGAWGAYGAKKAAAAAAGGCAACAATTSTTAAGCATCATTAACTGACTGATGAATTTTACTTGACAACCSCKYTTTTGAAACCCCAAAGTCCGCCCCCAAACCAAATCCCGCCTTGACCCCTTGTACGTTTCTGATATAATCAAACAACACTGAGTCAACTCTTGACAACGAATCATGATAATATAATCAAATCAAATTCTGTTCAATGCAACATTCCTTTCCTAAAAAGCGCTGAAAACACGTCTGACAATCGTGAACTTGTACCGTTCTTTCTCATTCGCACCCTTCAGAAATATTCCCAGCTGTTGGAACATTATGTTACTAGATTTTTCTTCTCAAAACATGCTCTCATACCAAAGTGAARCCGGCTCCTATCCACTTATACACAATCACAACAACAATTACATCCTCGCATATAAAAGCTATGGATAAATCCTGACATTAATCCTGCTTCTATTCACTTATCCTCAATCATAACAACAACGACAACAACAACAACAGCAGCAGCAGCAACAACAACAGCAGCAACAACAACAACAACAACAGCAGCAGCAGCAACAACAACAGCAGCAGCAACAACAACAACAACAACGACAACAACAACAACAGCAGCAGCAGCTACAACAACAACAACGACAACAACAACAACAGCAGCAGCAGCAACAACAACAACAACAACAATCATATCACGTCACACATTCGACATTAATGGGTTATCTTACAGACTTAAGATATATCCATCGCTAGTTTAGTTCTATTGAGTTGTTGTTGGAACCATTTTTATTAAAAAATAAGTTGCTGTAAATCTACTAATATTTGAGTCTATTCTTGGACGATCAAAGCTCTCAGGGCTTTTGCCTTRCGTGTTCGTCAATGAAGTTAATATTTTAATTGAGTACCATAATTACCCGTACAATTCGACGTCTATTTTTTAGAATTGCCTCCTGTACCGATACTTTAAAAACCTTTCAGACTATTGTTTTAGCAAATTTGTAGAAATAATGAGTTTMTAGTGGAGCGAAGATGCTTTTTATTTGTTGCTTCAAGCAAATAAAAGGGCTATATATGTACACATAAACACGCACTTTTTGCAATTCGTATTTTTAGGGGGGAGGGGGGAGGAATTCTCTTCTTCTGCCGGCGTAATAAGCAAGGGATAGACAAGGGATAGGTGCGTCTCGATGGAAATACATCTACTTTTTTTTGTTTATTTGTTTGGCTTTTAGATTTCACGAATTAAGTATCTTATAGCTCATAATGCTTGATGGGTTGGATTACATSTCTAGGATATAGGTATAGGTAGCAGWATTTCAATTTTGGGATTTCTMTGYWAAAAAKACAAAGAGGGACAGCTCATTTTGGTCATCATTAACACAGTAACTCRAATTGAMYTTAAAGGGATTGTTTGTGCAGTACCCGAGATAAAGACCCTTGTTATAATGCCTATTTATATAGTAATGGATGGTGAAAATTACACAACGCTGACTCAACAAAACAAAAAATAAACAAATTATTAAAGTAAAATATAAAAAAGGCTGATTTCGATAGTGTTGGCTGACTCGTTTACACTGGGGAGAAAGGCACATCAACATCAAKAATCTTACTATCCGAGCGTGCGCAGTGCGTTTCTCTTCAGTATCGACTCGTTTGTTAAAACACGTGACACAAAATGCATACTATGTTTTAAATTTTCCCATGACCCTTTGCAGGATGCWCACAAGAAAAGAGAAGCAAAGACTCTATCAGTAGTGATTCTACTAGTGAAGACAATGAACAAAGTTCTGGAATGACCTCACCAAAACTCTTCAAAGATGATGAGATTCTTCCTCCCAGTAAGACAAACATGCATGAGTTTTTCCGCCGACTCAAAGAYAAACTATCACTTAATGTCGATGGGGAAGAAGATGGCTTAAGAGAGTGTAAAGACACTGAAATGACGGCGAGGAAAGGTATTCTCAATGAAGACGGTGAGTCTTCAAGACTAACTGAAGATTTCCTAAAGGAAATGTTAAAAGGAACAAATGAAAAATACCAAGTTTCTAAAGAAAAGAATTCACGCGGAGAAAGTGATAAAATAAATGAAAGTACAAAGAATTTAGAACCACTCCCTAATACCAGCAAAGATGTGTTCACAGGAACAGCAAGAGGAAATTGCTGGCAAAGGTCTTCTTCATCGGACGAAATCGAGTTGGATGAAAATAATTTAGTTTCAAGTAATAACAATAGCGAGTCAGTTAATGAAGAAACGAGGCAAATACCCCCTGAAATTCCTAGGGATTTTGAATCACAATTTAAAATGGTAAAATCCTTGAGTTGCTCAAGCGTCGTGAAATCACCGCTCAGAGATGTAATAGACGAGCCTTCATTGGATCAAAGTGTTAAAGAAGATTCTACGGGAAATCCCAGAAATATTGAAAACGAAGGTAAAGACACAGAGGACATAAGGCGGAAGAGTGAAACCGATTCTGCAGGAATCCCGAAGGACGCGTCTAAAGTTTCTGCAAGCGCGCCAAGGGACCTTGTTGGAGAATATGCTGGTATCTCGAGAGACATTGTTAGAAATCACGTGGACAAACCAAGAGACGCTGTTATAGATTGCCCGAATAATCCAAAGGAGACTTCCAGACATTCTACAGGCATCTCTAGAGAAACAATGGAAGATTCTGCGGGTGTCCCGAGGGTGACTACAGCAGATTCTGCGGGCATCCCGAGCGCAGTTTCACCTCCTGCCCTTCTCTCAGTCTCAGAAAGAAAATATGGGCGCCACGATAGCAGCGCGTTCTCTTCCCGTCAAGACATCGAATTAAAGCAACACACTTACAACAAATCAAGACATGAGGGAATGGACTGGGACCAGAGACACATGGACCGACAAATACACGGTAATGACATCATAATGAAGGATAAACCGATTAATCTGCCTGGACGAATTATTTATGAAGATGACATCATCAAGTCCCCGACTATACATCCAGCGCTGAATCGAAATGTTGATCCCTTTTTCGGACGACTAACGCCTGTCGTAAACCCATGCTACCAAGAAGTGCACCCTTTGACGTCGCCGGTTTTTCCAACCAATCAGATGCCAGAATTGAACCATTTGCCATCAATACCCACAATGCATCGCAGCGTGACAGATCCTGAACTAGTTCGTTACTTAATGCTTCAAAATGGCGCTATGAAAGAACCAATGAAACCATACCAATGGTACAACCATGATACATATGAAAGAAGTGCATATCCCGCGGGATGGGACCCGTATCTCGGGTCGAGGGGATTCTTATCACCATCGCAGGTTTATAAAGAGGGTAAGAACGCTCAGGAAGGTTTCAATGGTACGCGATACAAATGTGGGTTGTGCGGAGCATCATTCTCTCTCCAGAGACTTTTAAACCGACACATGAAGACCCATTCGTTCTACAAGAGATATCACTGTCAGTTTTGTGGCAAAGGATTCAACGATACGTTTGATCTCAAGAGACATATTCGCACACATACTGGTATTAAACCGTTCAAATGTAGCGACTGCGAGAAGGCGTTTACTCAACGATGTTCGTTGGAAGCGCACCTTACGCGCGTGCACGGCATCGTGCATAAGTTTGGGTTCCGAGAAAGGAGGGAAAAACTGTACGTATGCGAAGACTGTGGGAAAACGTTCAAAGAAAACCAGTCTGAATTCAGACAACACGTTGCAAATCATCACCCTGAGACAGATAGGGTTTTGCGATTGAGAAGGAATGGCTTTCCTTCGTGAAAATGCGTTGTAAAAAATTCAATCATTATGAATCACGCAGGGCTAACAATGAATGACCAATAGTTCATAGATACAACATTTAAAGATTATTATTACTCAAAATATCCGTGCAGGTCACGAGTACATGATTCGGAGCATAAAGCCAGCTAGCGTTAAGAAACAATTTCATCATTGCAAATAATTTATACTGTAATATAACGACGCAAAGGAAACCACGCCTGCAATTTATCAAAAAACCCACCCATTTACATGTTACTATTTTATACGTAAAAACGCAATGTTTTGATTATTTAATTCACAAATATTTCATGAGAACCACATGAATTTAATGTCATAACCTCTCAACTCTAGAGGAACGGTATACCTGTGTAATTTTATGTTAATTATTTTACTATAAATTGCTCAAATATATATATAATTTCAAGCAAAACAATAAATATTATCAAAAGTATCAAAATATACGACAAATAGTTACATATCGTTATGTTACTGAATTGAATAGCCAGATTACCTGCTATAGTATTATGGCCATCTTTTTATATGACGTCGGACCTCTAACAGGAAAGGCGTGACACATTATTGTGACATAGGAAAGGCGTGACAGGAAAGGCGTGACATTACTGTGTGACCGTGTCACGCTTGAAATGGCCCAACGTGCTTTTCTACGGAACAACGACGACAGCTATCAATTCAATGCGCACTTAGTCATTTATCAATGCAATGGTTACAGGCAAAAACAAGAAAGGAATAAAATCTGCATTGAATTCTGCAGTGGATATTTGGCTTATACTAGCCCCAGCCCCTACCCACATACACACAGCCACCTTGTTACAAATACAATGAGCTAAAGAACAAAATATGTCAATTCTGCAAAAAAAAAGCTCCAAGCAATACTAATTCGCCGCAATGAAAGCTATCAGCGCCAAGTTACATGAGGCGAACAACACATGAGAAATCATAATTTTGCTGTCTTGCTCCAAGCAACATAGTGTATAAAGTCTGCTGGCTATAAGTAGCTTTGTAAGATTGTTTAAAAAGTTGAATCTCACAGATACTGAATCAATACAAATGTAACAATCATGCGCAGAAAAAGTTCGAAGACTGATCACTCGTAAAAACAAGATATTGAGCTCGGTACTTGTAAAGTTCGGTGTTCTAGTTTGTGCTGGTCTTTTCGATTCCTTGTTTGGCATGTTTCATGGCCTAGTGTATATAAAACAATTGTAAATATTGAAAGAATGACATTAAGTGAGTGATGATATCATTTTTTTGTGATTCGCGACATTTCTTGAATGCTTAGTAATAGAAACATCATCCAATATCAGAATGATTACAACTCCACTAGACTGTGAAGTAAACAATCAGGATGTAATATTCTAAAACTGGCCAAAAAAAAACTGGTTTAAGATTTCTTGTCATCGATAATTATAGAGGAATTCCAGCTTTAGTACAAGTCCTGTGCAATCACTATTTTTTGATAGTGTTACGTTTTCACAGTGAATATCAAGGGTGCCATGGTATGAAGCGGGCTGGCACGGTTGGTCGGTTTGATTTCCAAAACCATGATTTTGTTATGATGTCAACTAGCACGTTCCAGTTTTTTCACGAGTTCATGTACACGTAGAGTGCTTGCGCTACCGCATAAACTCTAAGCAGTACTAATTTGTACTAAAAGTGAATCTGAAGCAAGGCGGTATTGAATGCTTCATTTCCATCAGCAATTTAATTTGCGTACCGCATGCACGATTTTCTAAATACAACTAAATAGCACTATTTAGTTTGTACAGTTGCTCGGTTTAGGTTCGATCACTCTATTTGTGATATAGAGAGAGTACAAACACTAAAAGTGTGCAGTATAAATGCCTCTAAATCATGCTAATTTTATTGTTCAGTAAGACCATTGCATTATAGCAGGAAATGACTAGCAAAGTGTTTCACACAATTAGTGTTTATACTCCAGTCATCTCTTCTTTGGTGTATTCATCAAGGAATATAAATGTTGAAAATCAAAAAACCCGTGAAATAGGTATTATACTAATAAATCTGCTATAATTCCATTATTTTCTTTTGTGTCTATTTGACTACCGAGCTTCAATAGTTACTATTCGCGCAGTGCGCAGGGTATCATGGGTACTCAAAAAGACGTGATGGAATGTTCTTTTTCACTGAGCAACTGTATCAACTGAAGGTTTTTTTTTCTTTTTTAGAGAATAAAATCGTGTATTCCGATGGATGCACTTTCTATTGATATGCAAATTATTTAATTTCGTTGCACGCTGGTAGACTCTAGTTGAACTCTATGACTTCGTAAGTCGGAAGACTCTAGACTTGTGTCTTTCACGTGTCAAAAATGTTCTAAAAGTTGCTAAAATCGATATTTGAACCACTYATATTGAAAATGACAAATAGGGAAACTTGTAAGTTTTTAATATGCATGAAGAGGAATCTATTGTATCATAGTGGGATTATGATAATCTCTGGCTAAGCTATAATAGGCCTTTTGATATAGGTTGGAAATATCACAAGATAAGATCAGATTGATATATCATGAGTGGCCAAARCCATACAGCCATGAGCGATGTCGTAACTATGATAGCAATAACTAAAGCAATTTRCTTACTTTCCTAAAATGGCATTAAAAGGTTGCTTWTTTGCTTCACTGGAGTCTATTGTATTTGATTTCAATTACTTTGTACAAGCAATTGTACTGCTATTGTTTAGTTAACACAAAAGAGACTCTACGGCTTGTACTATGCCTAGTTTGGACTTAYGGACCTTAAGCATAATCCTTGTTATGGAGTATCCATAGTTACTTCATAGAGCAACATAGTTTTTGAGTCAATTTAGCGAGCGCATCGCTTCAGGATAGTACTCTACTGCAAGKATGTTTAGCAAAGTTGTGCCGTGAGAACTCTGTTTAGGAAAATTCCCTCGCTGTACGACGGTTATCACATGAGAGTAAAAGACAAAAAGATCAAGGAGAGAGTATTCTTTCTTATAATACACTTCTCAAAATAGAATCTCAAATAACTTTTGMTGTATTGTTTTTCAACTATTTATGGAAAGAATAAAATGTGGAGTTTGTGTTCCCTACTGTGATCTCACGCACTGGGATATCGCTGAATTCTGCAGAGAAAACTCTGGAAGTTTGCAGTWCAGAATGAAATCGCAAAATAACTACATTTAGATATTGAAAACCCAAACACCATATTTTCCTGTAGCAATAATTTTCCTAATAATTACATAATTCATATTCTTTATTTCAGTTTGAAGCACTATTACTATAATTCATGACTACATTTTCTCCAGCATCATAAGTCCTTTCTCGAGCCCWCTGTGACGTTGGTTCATTTGCTCGTCCTCTTCCCCTCTCTTGACTTTTACCCCTTTTGGTAGTAATTTCTCGCAAAGTGGCCAGCTCCATTACACGCACAATACCGCATACTATATGGGGGCTGACTGGCCCGACGATTTGTTCTCACTCGGTCCGCTTCGTCAACTTGTGCTATCTTTTTCAGAACTTTTACTTTCTCTTATTTGGATGATTGGTTACTGCGGCCACCATCTTCAAATTAAGCACCAAACTTACACTTTGGAAAACGTTATGACCCTTGCCTTGACCATCTGCTTGTCAAAGATGTCCTCTACGGACTCCTTCCCCTCTCTTTCAAGAACTTCCAGTCTTTCTATTAGTGATTTTAAATGAGGATCCAAGAACGAAAAGAATGGAACTAATTATTTTGCTTGACGCGGTCTATTACCTTCCTGCAAACGTGATCTAAAGTAATCATCCCTTTTAATTCATTTTCTTTTTCCCCTGTAAAACACGGTCCATTTATATCTCGCAAAATATGATCGTTCGAGGGACACAACAATATGGCCCACTTCTCTCTTACAATCATGGGAGACACAGTCTGCTAACAAGCTAATTGATTTGAGGGACACGATCACGATCCCCTTCTCCRTCGAGAACCTGATCACAGTTTTCRCAGCATAACTAATTTGTATGACGGACACGATCACTGTCCATTTCTCTCTCTTAAATGTGGGTTTGCAAAACATTCTTATTGCTTTGAGAAGCACGATCACAGTCTACTTCTTTCTCGCAAAACATGAGATTGCAAACATAACTAATTCTTTTCAAGGACATAATCACAGTCCACTTCTCTCACTGAACATGATAAGCAGTTTGTAAACACAATAGTTCGTTGAAMMYCATGCTCACAGTCCACTTACTCTCTCTGAACATGATAAGCAGTTTGTAAACACAATAGTTCGTTGAAMMYCATGCTCACAGTCCACTTACTCTCTCTGAACATGATAAGCAGTTTGTAAACACAATAGTTCGTTGAATTACATGCTCACAGTCCACTTACTCTCTCACAAACATGATAACAGTTTGCAGCGACTCATAACTAGACTAATTCACTTCATAGACCGCACTATCACGGTCTCTTGACCACTTGCAAACATGTTCACAGTTTGCAAAAAAAAAAAAATTATCTAGGCGCCTTATTCGTTGAGGCATACTTAATTCCCGATCTAACTGGATTTCCAAACTCCGACTACACTCGATTGCCTAATTACTGCCCGACTCTCCTGCCCAAGAATCAGAGAGAGTGACTCTTCAAACTCCACACTACTTCATGTAAGATRTTGTTATTGATGTATGCAACAATTCCCTGGAGAAGTTTCAACCGATCTGGTTGAGTTTATATACATTTCTCCCCACCAAAGAAGAGATGAGACAGGATGTGAGAGTTTTGTGTGATTTCGTTGCAATCCAGGAGAGAAATTCACGATTCAATAACATACAAAATATACAAAATAACGTTAAAATATAGAGAGGGGAGGGGCTGATACATAAGCACCACTAACTAACACTGGCTGTGCTCAGTGTGGCACTACTCGATCTTCAATATGGATTTGTAAGAGGTGCTTGGTTGACCGTTGATCAATCGGTGTGCAGGAAAATTCAAATTCAGAGAGAATTCGTGTTTCTGGCCTGATTTCTTGTCGGACAGCGCATTGACCGCTTTGTTTTAATTCACATGAACCTCACTGACAATCAAAAATTGCSCCGGTTTGCCACCAAATGACATTTCCCCGTGCAAAGATGTTTTTTAATCACATTTCTTCAACAGTTCATGAATATTCAATGACTTGGCATAGACAAAACAGATCTTTCCAGTACTCAAAGGTAATATCTCCATCTCAGCTCGCCCATGTGACGTCCTCAATTAATAATGGTTACTGATGTTAAGCTTTTAAGCTAAAAAATTAAAATTAAAAAAAAAATTAAAATTAAAATTGTTTTATTCCAATCAATGAATAATCACTAAAAAGCACATTTGCGTTCAAATGGTGTTTAAGTTTTATAATGGCAATAATTTTTAATTTCTATTTCAGCGAATTAGAGCAATCGAATTATACTTTAAAAAAAGAATCATTTCTTACGCTATGGTCACGGTGAATTATGAAAAAAACATCAACCTGCAAGCATCTTCGTTGAAACCCCGTTAAAAACACCCATAACTCGGAAATGATATTTCATTGACGGCTTCGACAAGTGTTCATTGTCTACTGCTCTCAAGCTTTGAAAACTTTGCTTTAACTAGACTGATTCAAGCACTCCATGTTGAATTCTTCATAATTATTTATTATATCAGTTCATAGTATATATTACTACTATTTACATTATATTTACAGGGGATCATGACTCATTTGTGGTCATTCCTATGAAACATCACTATACATTGTCGTAAGGCATGACCGGTTATGACGGAAATTATCATAACGTTAAGTCATGCATCTGTGAGTGCAATTCAGACTGCGCAATCAAGAAAATTCCGTCGCATTATTTACATTTTTAACTCTTTTGATGACTAATTTCATCTAAAGCTAAGACAACGATGATTTTTTCTATCATATTTTGTTCATTGCTTGCTGATATTTTCAATAAGTTACCACATAGAGTTAGTTTGTGATAGTTACGCAACCAGAACCAGACCAGAAACCGTCATCTTGTATCTCTTGACTCCTTTTCTTTGCTTTAAAAGAGTTCTCATAATCACTGCGTCTTAAAGTCTCGTTTTTCCATCTGTTATATATTCTCATCGAATTTTCTTCAAGCTAAAAACCCCAAAAATGTCACTAATCTTGTCCATCCAGGGACTCTTCTTAGGCTGACCACTGTCACTACAGCTAATGGTACTTTCTTTCGACTCGGCATCACTGCCAATGGATTCTGTCTCAAAGCTGTAAGGAGTTTTGTAGGCATTATTGAAGGCAGCWGTTATTGCTTCTACAAACATTTGTGCTTCTGCTGCCGAGTCCATGTAAAGCGCGTGGCATTCAATAGTTGGAGGCTCTTTTGCTGAGAGATAATTGAATGCCACAACTTGAGGAATTTTCTTAAAAGTTGCACAAAATAATGTACTCTTTATGGGAAAAAAGCAAGAAAYTCCATCATCGTTCTCAATTGAAATTGCTTTTGAAGTCACAGTGACGAATAATGATTCCCTGTCGTTGATATTTAGGCATCCTTTTTGGTAAATTCGAGCAGTGTTTTCCAGCGTCCCAACCTTTGGTGCGGTGGCTCCCGATTTCCCGAGGTATTTGGCACGGCAACGATGAACAAGCATCTTAGAGCCTTTCAGTCTTGCAGAACTCGCATGTATTCTTGCTTTGTTTTAGTAAACTAAATACCACAACAATCGGTTTCTTTATATTGGCAACGTTCTCCCCTGGGCTCCAGTCCTTGAAAACCGACCAATCAGAAGCTACTTTCTCTAAACATTCACTGAAGTGCAAAACAACTGAGACCTCCATTGTCATGTCGAGAACCTTCTTATTGACGTCGGTATAATCCCACTGGAAACAAGCCATTGAAAGATCTAACTGAAAGATCTAGATTTTCGTTCAGATATTCTTTATTTTTTAACTGAAAAAATAGAAAACGGGAAAGATCATCGACGTTATGAGTTTATTATATACATTTTTAGCTTAAGAGTCTATATAGTAGTGAACAGTAAGCCAATTTCATGGTCATATGATCTGCTACGTTTTTTCTCGTAGTGCTACAGAGGGATCAGTGTTGTTTTTCGAAAGTACCAAAAAACAGGTTTTGATGGTTTTTGGGAAAAAATCRTCGGAACTAAGAAGCTAGAGGGAATTAAACTTTCAAATCGGTTAATTAAGAGTTAAAGATTCTACCTCGTTACCATGCTGAGAGATCCCGTGAGATATCAAACATGCATGTGACAATCAGTGCATCGCTACACGCCCATCAGTTTAGATTTATTGTAAAAGATTGCTCTTTTTGACAATTGATATTTTCTTAAAATCACCTTCTTCCGTGCAATGACGGACTCAAAGAACACTTCTGATAGGGCAGCGAAGACGTTACTCTTGTCAATATGGCACGAGGAAAGCAAAGAGACCACAACAAAACGCAGGACTTGGTTGCTCTCAACACCACGCCCGCCACGAGGTATAAAGCAAACCTCACKTATTCGGCTTCAGGAGATCCAGAAAAAGGGYAAAAAGACCCCACTAAGTCATCATTGAAAATCATTMCKGAAAATGGCAAAAATCATTGCCGAAAATGAAATACTCTGAAATACATTCAAGACTTGCAATTATAAATCGTGACAAACMCGATAAAWGAGAYGTTAGCCCAAGGTAGCCCAAGCTTTACTGTGAATGCAAAAAATTGAAAATGTTTCGAATGAAATTATTTAAACTAACATCGTGTTTTTCTTGTGTTTTATGTTTCTGGTGTGGATTTTTTTTTGAGGTTTTACCTTTTTATCGATCCTAGTTAATATATATTAGATTTAGCCCACAAGAGGTTAAAATTATATTCAAACAGACTCGAAATATATGAGAAAAGAAATGGTAGGAATTTTCGATTTAGTGCTTCAAACCACTTTTTAACACATATAGGATCCCAGGTGGGTACCCTAAGGAAGAAAAAAAACGATCCCTACCCATAAGCCCCCATGTGCCTATATCCACGTGACCATGATGCATAGCCGGCTTTTTTCCTTGTGCTTCAAACCATAGAAGGTAAGTTTGTTTATATGCCACATTTTTTGTCCAATTTTTTCATCTTTCAAAAAAACTCGAGGTGTTTATATTCGTCCTTTAGGACTGAGACGTAATTTATTTATAAAATGACTAAACACCACCACGAAAGCGATCGACATCAGCGAAAACGAACAAGGTCGCGCTCATCTTCCCGCCATGAATCTCCCCATGAAGAAGATCGACCTTCTAAACGTCGCAAAGACGACAAGTCCAACAATAATGACATTCTACAAAGAATTCTGCACTCTGTTGAAAATAAAATCTTTCAACAGAGGATCGATCGCACAACTCATCTGTAGACGAACGAGACACACTCTCTGTARGAATTAGACGACGATTTGTCCTTTGAGACACCCGTAGAGCCTACTAAGGCACAGATAGAGATTAAAGTGCCTATGACGCCTGACAAAACAAGATTCTGATGCCCTGTGAGCTGATTCTATATAAAGTAAATAATTAAATGTTGAAATATTTTTTTTCAGGCGTCATAGGCACTTTAATGAAGCACCCTTGGCGTCTAACGTGTCGTCCGTAGATCCTCCAGTGGAACCAAAACAACCAATCAAGGACACAAATCCACAAACAACAGGACACATTTACGACCCAGACGAGACTCACAAACATGGAAAGCTACTCCGTCTTTTGCAAAATTCCTTGAAACTAACTTTCGAAGGAAACTATCCTATGACCAAGTTTTAAACATACTTGATAACTGGTCATCTCCGGAGGTCGAAGCTTAATCAGCCCCTTAGCAAAACCAGCAGGTTCCTTAACCAGGTTCCTCAAAAAATGAAAAAAATCGTTCAAGAACGAGACAAGGACTCTCTTCACAGTGCAAAGAGCCATGCTAAACTCTACAACCTCTCTGCAGTCTGCATGGTTGTTTAGAGTCGGGTGAGAAATAATCAAATCAGCTATCAAGGAAGTTCGCAAAAATATCAGCATCGTCCAAAAAAAAAAGGACTTTTCGTCGCTCAAAGGGACGGCAGACCGAATCTCAGGATGATAGATACCTAGGGGATAGAACTGATGCTTGCGATAATAAACAACTGTTATATCATGAAACAAATCAGATATCATGTGCGTTTATTGCCTTTTAGCGAAGCTTATAAATAAATACAAAATAAAATAAAGCACATGGACGTAAAAATCACTCACTGCGCTGGTTATACTTATACCTTTGTTTTTATATATAGACGGAAACACTAGCTGTGCTATACACCCTTTTAATAAGTCCCGAGTTATTACGTTCTCCGCACTTGACGTCAAATTTATTCTTTTGAATTCCTTCCGTATTGCAAAAATTTCAAAATCAAGTGCGGAGAAAAAACAATACCTCGGGACTTATTAAAAGGGTGTATATGCGACCGAATTGGCATAATCCGCCCTGGTTTAATAGTTCATGAATTATCAATGAGAGTTTGAGACTAAATTAAAAATAGTCGAAGCGTAAATATGTACTAAATTTAGTGTGCACGTGCAATTTAGTTGAGAAGTGCACGTGCGTTTATGCACACAKGTCGTCCTCGGAACTCAACTAGCGAGCTACACTGACTTCATAACCGTTACAAATGCTGCTGGAATTAGAAAAGAAGTCTCATGCTAAAAAGGTACGTATCTCACAAACTTTTCCGTAGAAGCGATAAACTCCTTTTGCGGTTTATTTTGAGCATCAAGCAAAGATATTGTTTACAGATATTTTTCGATTCTTTACATTAAAAGTGCGTCTCGTCTTGATTTTTAGCTTAGACTTTTACAATAAACTCGTTAGAAAACACGTTCATTTGTGTACTGGGTCTTGATATTGGTTATTTTTACTACAATGTCTTCTGTCTTGATTTTGCTGCGACGCGTTTTCTTGCGTATTGTGTYGTTTAGCTTGAACGTGTCTTGTGTTGATTTTGCAGCAGCGCAAATAAATAAGCATTCTTAAACGCGTTTTGTGTATTGTAGTTATTTTTAGATTAAAAGTTGTGTCTTTTGTCGTTTTTGAGGCATCAGCACAAAGTAATGAAGGRTCTGAAATCATTTTACTTGCGTTTGTTTGTTATTTTAGATTTGTTTTTAGATTTTAGTTTAGTGATTTTGTAGCAAGGCTATTCTTGAAAAAAGCACGACCTAATGTCACTATCTATTTCACGGGTATGTTATTTGCACTCTACAACACACTTCTACAATTGGTTACTGGTTGGTCATGGTTGTTGTTTGTTTTTGACGCCTCGGCTACGAACTGAAAGGGGATCGCATGCTAGTGGGTTATCATGACTTGGTCTTAATTTTTTCTGAAACTGGAATATATCCGGCTGTTATAACCAGGTAATGACCAACATGTCCGAAAGAGTCAATGTGTCAWTACATGTATTAAGATATTTGGAGTCAAAATAGACGCGGGAAATATCCAAGATTTATGACAATAGATGTAGACACACTTTTTGCTGATTTCTGGTTTATTGAAAACCAATTTAACATATATTATTTTTTACTTTTAGAACCAGCTGAGTCAAGCCTTCGACATGCACCTTTATGTCAGATTGTCCATCAGCACTGAAAACAAGAGACGACTGTTAATCTGTTAATCTTTTCTCAGATTTCTACTCTTGCCGGGATTTTAAATAAGTTTACTATCCCGGGGGGGGGACTCCCTAATATCAAGGGGGCGGGGGTCCTCGGCGTCCCTTTTAGGGTTTGAAATCAGTATTTTGGTCCCGCTTAGGGTGATCATMYRAAHAATTCCTACCAACTGTGTTTTGTGGTCCCTTTTAGGGTATACGGCGACCCCAAGCAGTCATAAAATGGCAACGTTGTCATAAAATCAATACGAGCCGACGGTGTTCGATGATTGTGTAAAAACACAAATAAAATCGGTAAACCAAAACAATATGACCTGTTATTGATTGGTCCCTTTTAGGGTTGAAATTTCAGCACTGCTACGCCCATCATCTCACAATAGAGGTCCCTTTTAGGGGTCATTTTCACAATCTCCGCCGAGGACCCCCGCCCTTTGATATTAGGGAGTCCCCCCCCCCGGGTTTACTATAGTGAAACAGTCAGGAAGTCACTCGGAACGGTTGTCAAGTGTCGTTAAAAAGCGAGAAAAGCGAATGGGCGCGAGACTGCCATTTCATTTCAGTTATTTGTTTTTCATTATATTGGAAAAAAAAATAAATAAATTTGCCCAAATAAAAGCATTTTAGTCGTATTGCCATTTATGCACGCGGGCCTTTAAACACACGCCTTGTCGACAACTATCAACCCACAACTACCTTAACAAATGCCGCATAACTTCTTGCAATTATTTCGCATCATCTTTTTCCATGATTGGTTATAGCATTTTGCCTTGCCTAGTCGACTGCAATAACTTGGGTCGTTTTTGTAGCCATCGCAAGCTGCAGAGATACACATTTATATAAATACTATGTAAATTCTTTGCACTACAAAATATCACATTGATTTTACATGAATGAAGGCAATGGTTAACGTCTTTTGAATGCACAACATGCGCTATATCATCAAACAGCTGACTAAAAGTGTTTTACGCATAGCAAAAAGCTTTGAAATGACATGAAATGAATCCGGCAGTAGAAACAAGGTTGTCAACCGAGGCAAGTGACTGCGCAATGATTATCACTAGGGAATGGGTGAGAAGTCCCTAAAGACGCAGCGAGTGGCATCTCATAGCACCGTGAATGATAAGTTATTCACTTACGTCCAGGGCACTTGGCGCATATTCCTTTGCCACATTCAGCTTCCAAAATACCAGTACCGTAACGACRTCCACAGTCGGTCTTGCGAAGACTACGGCAATTGGGTGAGAAACGCTTGAAATTGTTATCGCAGTCTGAAGTTAGAAAAATTYAATAATAGATGACCTAATGATGATGGGATATTTATCATTGTTTTATCAGATTCAAAACGTTTTGGCAAATGCTTGCAAATAGATCTTCGATAAAAAAAACATTTTGTAATTATAGTCTAAAATGATCCAGATTTCTGCGAATATCGAATGAATGATTTCGATTTGGATATTTACCGGGTTACCAGCCAATGCTCATTCCAACAAATAGTACGCGGCAATCAAATAAATATTATTCCTAGTACATTTTGAGAATATCTCGGGAAAAAACGCCGGCAGTTWGCGATAATAACTTACACAGACCAAAGAAAATGGCTTGGTGCACCAACCAGTGACTGAATATCATTGCTTAAATTTTCTGACGACGCTATAATTTTGCGATACTGAAAATGTTGTCTAAAACTCAAATTCCATGATCAAGATTCGATAACTGGTGTCCAGGAATATTGTACCGGGTCTCACGTCTTCGCATATTTCTATGRCGGCTATTTTTTTATGTGCGTCGGCYCTCAATTTACGCGTAAACGACCATAGCTTTCGAATCTTACTCGACCGGTTGCACGCATATCTGTTTTAACAAACATTGAGATTGGTTGCTTGAATATTGGACTCGAAATGGTGGTCTTCACGCACGAAAAAAAGAATATGTATAATTGTAAACGCAGCTCTACTTGTAGTACTTTATATCACGTGATTYAATAACAATTCGTGCATTGCGTTGTAAAAAAACTGAGGTAATTTCTGACTCGGTTCGAATGCTGCTCTAAATGTATTCTTACCAGCATTTCCATGAACAGCGACAAGCATAACTCCTAAAACAAACAAAAGGCAAAGAACTTCGTTTGATCTCATAGTTATCTCAATCAGATGTGATGTCCTCAACTTGAAAGTGGATGTAGCTCTCTCGAAGCTTTGAACCTTCAAATGATGTCTTAACGAGTGCTCTAGTCTTCTTATATTGCACAGGAGTGATAATGAASTTTTCACATGATTTCAAGCGAAGGGAATTTTATCCGTGGAAATATCTACTCTCTAATGAGCACTTCATTCTCTTTCCAAAGAACCCTAATCCCCAACCTACAATGGCACAGGTAACGAGCAAACGGCGTTTTTAACCTCTTTYTATCGTTTCATTGTAAAAAAATTGTGTATTTCGCATTGTTATCTGTCCTTCACGAACTGAGAACAATCCACTGAATTGGACTGATGGATACCTACTTGTGAGAGTCATGTGCAGTCGTGCATTCGGCTGTGGGTGATGTAATATCATGACAAGTCTTGTTCAGATAAGCGTACMTAATTAGGGTGAAATTAAAAGTCTTTCAAGGAAGTGTTGTGTAATTTCTTTTTTAATACATTTATTATATTCTTTCTCAAAAGAATCATGTAAACCAGCAGAAGCTACTGAATTTGATTTTTTTTACTGTGTACATGGTCAGTGTTCACGGATTTCTGGCAGGGCCATGGCTGATGGCTTTCTTTCAAGAACAACAAGAACTGTACATCGTATTGTACAGGTGGCCCAAGGGAAAAATGTGAAAGATGTACTCATTGATTAAAAAAATTAAAAATCAATTGAATTGTCTTGGAAATCAACTTAGTCTTTTCATCAGCATACATGTTTCGATTTCTGTTGGCCTCCTAGCTTAATTACATTGGAGTCCAGAGGTTGGAATCAGGGTCATTGGCAACACTTTACAGACGAATGAAACGAAAAAGCTCATCAATAACAGTGCCCAGATGCCAAGTTCCTTTCTTCTCTCGTAAAAATGCCCTGGTCTTTCAGTGGTGCACACATTCGGTAAACATTTTTAAGAAAGTCAGAAGATTTTTATGAATCAATACAAGTTCCTTACAACAGAACATGGAAAACGAGAAACAGCCACAATGTAAACGTTTTGCACGACAAGTTGAGATTTTTTTGTATCGCGTATTTCTTGGCCTTTATGACGATATTTTCCACCCATAACCAGCTCAAAATCTTTATGTTAGTGCAGCATGATAAGTCATTTGTCTACCAAAGGTTTAAGAAAATAWACGAAATGCACTCTACTGTATCTTGTTTTCAAAACTCTTAGTCGATCTAGGCCAACCTTCTGTAGGCACCAGTAATAATCTAAGATATTTGTCAAGGGAAAAACCTTGGTGTTTACACTTGCAAAAAAATGATGTTGCCTGTAAGATCCTAATACATGCTCTTGTGGCATGCAATCTAGACTACTATAATGCCTTGCTGCATGACATCCCGCAGTATCAACAACAACGACTGCAAAACGTTCTAAATGCAGCTGCTCGTTTGGTTTGCCGCCTACCGAAGTACTGCCATATAACACTTGTGCTTAAAGATCTTCACTGGCTGGCGATAAAATATCGAATTATCTTTAAGATCATTTTGCTGGTTTTCAAAACACTTCATGGTATGCCACCAACGTATCTCAAAGACCTGATACMTGCGAAACCGAAGGGACGCTACCATCTCAGAAACAATGAACAGCTGTTTGTTCCCAGAAACAAATGCAAGACGTAGTGGAGATAGAGCATTTTCAAAATCTGCGGACCAGTGCGATGGAACAGTTTGCCAGAACGTATAAAAGAAATTCGCAACATACAAAAATTCAAAAAAGAACTAAAGACAAACCTTTTTAAAATGTCTTATCAATAAGAACTTTATAACATAAAAAACATTTACGACACGGCTAAATATATTTGATTTTAATTACATTAATTAATTAATGTTATAGATGTTCATGTTTTATATACAGCCTTTTGCACAAATTATGAGACATTTATATATATATAAATATACCTAACCAAATATCAAAAACACCCCAGAAATTATGGTATATCTCTATTATATTTTGTCATGATTGTCTAGCATCAGGTTGTTACAGACAAAATATCAGCGACGGTATCCCATAATTTCTTGGGTGTTTTTGATATTTGGTTAGGTATATTTATATATATAAAAATGTCTCATAATTTGTGCAAAAGGCTGTATATTTATATATATATAAAAATGTCTCATAATTTGTGCAAAAGGCTGTATTTGAACTTTATTTTATTATAGTTATATATAGCTCTCATAGGCCGCCCAAATTGACGCTCTTAGAGCGTCAAGTGTGTCAGGATTTTCCATCATTTCAAACTGCAGGGTATCTCCATTCAGCTTCCACACAGTATTGCTATAATCCTTGAATGGTTAACTTAACAGAGTTTGTATTTATTTTGGGGTACATAAATTCTATTTCGAGAAAAAAAAATAGACAACGCGAGATATTTTGGATAACGTCGGAGCGTCAGGGTGTGATAGACCTCCGGTCTTGTGTTTACTCAATGAAGCTAATAAAATATTTGGACCGGAAACTCCCTAAGCACATCAAAGGAACGCCCGGAAGTGTCGTGCATTGAAATCGATTTATCTCAGTCTGAGAGTAAACTATATCGAAGAACACTGGCTCCATATGTAAGAACTAACACAAACAATGTCTCAAGAATCTTTTATTAGTCCTAACGGCCATACCTAGAAATCCTTCCCATAAAATCTGGAATGGAGGTAATGGAGTGAGGCTCAATTGGAGCGTAGGAATAGATTAAATGTTGTCATATGGTAGGGGGTAGGTTGTAAGGAAATTTACAAGAAGGAACCTCACACTTCCGGTGCYACATGCGACCCGCTGGAACATTTTTGATACTGTGTTACAGTTACAGGAGGCTAATCTTGGCTAATGATACTTATGATGGCAATGAAAACCTCAGCCAAAATCTCAGTGTTGAATATAGTTGATCATAAACTGCGCTATACTGTAAATAATTGCCAATCATTCGTGCAATTTTACGAGGATGAATGTTAACAATCTAAATAATTCGATACTGAAAAATAATCACTGCCGAGTAGTAGCCTCTTACTTTGATTTCAAAATTGCGCATACCCTATAATAGCTGATAAAAAGCTTGAGTCTAGGTCTGAAGAAAAGGGGAAAGTTTTATTACACAATATTGCTGCAAAGCAAACTAATTAACTAAATTCAAAATTTTGATTTCCTTCCATTCTCTCCTTTTAAAGAATTTTCCAAATATATGCCAGCCCACTTATTCCCCGAGATATCAAAAAGCAGGGCAAAAACTGGATATGGAACTGAACCAAAACACATAAGAACCTGAAGCATAGCTGTTGCATGTCTTGAACCAATCCCAAGCGGCTTACCAGCCATCCATTCAGCGCCCATTACCGTCTTTCTTAATTGTTTTTGAGATAATCTGCTCTTTGATTTTTAAAATGGATTTCCAGCCCAGTTGGGTTTCTTCTCGGCCTGTAGTAAAACGTGCTATCGTATATTGACCATGCTGAAAGTAATCCGAGACGGATAAATGATTGAATCCCATTACTACTTTCCTGTTCGTCGCCCTCTGATGGCTAATTATAGACGTCGTACACACCTTGAGGAGTCAGTTTCCTGTGTTGAAAGAGCGACAAGAATGACTCGTGATAATGACTTTACAAACACAGACGTTTACTGTCATAAACTGAATGATAATAATAATAATAATAATAATAGAGAAATAAAAATTGGCTTTATATCGTGTATTTTCATTGAAGATAGCAGAGTAGAATTTGTGTTATCGCAAAACGGCTAGGTTGGCTGAATTCCCTCTCATGAATAATATCCATGCAAGGATTGACAATCAATGTTTCATGTTATTCCCTTCAAACATAAACAAACAAACAGCTACTGATCAACAACGAACTTGTCTCTAAGCAATGAGCGAAAAAATTATACATGCTATCAGGCGTTTACTGCCGGTTTTTGCGGGCCGCTTTGCGTCGGATTGAATTCTCTGAATTCTAAGCTCTGGTCTGTTCCAAAAACCGTCTGAGTTACATCGATGAAATATCATGATAGATCATATAGTCTAAAGTATATAGGAAAATATAACGAAAAACCTTATAACATTAGACATACTAGTATYAAATCGAAATGACACGCATAGTTGTCGAGTCATTGTCGAGTACAATCTAGGAAGTAAACCCAGACATTCGTACAATGGCATTGGATTGGCATTTCCGGCTTTATCCGAAGATATTTTAGAGTAATCACGGTTATAGTAATCCTGCTGCAGATTGCCAGCAAAAAGGACGATAGGAAACTTTTCTACCGGTTGTGGTAAAATTTACGGCTTTTCAGGTTTTTTATAACATATAGCCCGAATTTTCCCGAACATTTTCCGAATCAATATCAGCGTTGATATCTAAACAACAAAAATAATTAATCCAGATATTGAATTGAAATTCGTCGTCTTAACTTGGAATAGTTTTTTTTCGGGACAACGGGTATCGTTCGGGATGCAAATCGGACGCGTTTCGAAACCACAGAGGAATTTATATTTTTTACAAGAATCAAATACCGACGTTTTCCGAATACGCTCCGAAGTTCTTAAGAAGCGGTATGTCGGTATCACGACCGTCTATATGTTTTACAAGAAAAACGTTTTCAGATAAGAAATAAAGTGATTTCATTTTCTGTAAAGTAATAACAAAAGACCAAGTATTGATTGATCCTCTGTAAATATTGGTGTACATGTACAAAATCAGAGATGACGTGAAATTAAAGTCAAGTCAAAGTCGCCTCGGGCTGTTTGCATTGCTTCGCAGTGTTTGTTAAATTAACTCGGTTAATTTCATTTTGACTGGTTTGTCAATAATACTCAATACTTTGCCGTGAGACTTGAAATATCTTCTTTGTCAGTGACTTCCGGTAGCGAATACACTTCTACACGTCACCGTTTCCGGTTTCCTGTGGGTTTCCGTCGTCTCTAATGACTTCTCACGTTCAAACGCTGCRCAAATTTACTCTTAACTGCGTACTAAAACCCTGTAGAATTACCATCAAGAGATAAAAGTATTACCAGTTAGCTAATATAACGGCGTGACATCCTTAGCCGACAAATGATAGTATCATTCAGTGATATAAGAGTGTGTCGAGACCCTAACCCCAGTCATTTCCGTTGCACTTCAGAAAGGTCAATTTTGAAGACAATTGCACATGTTGTGAGGGMTTTTTTTAGCTGGGCTTACTGACTGGCTGTTCCGACGCAYCCAACGGAAACGTAAAGACGCACGGTTTACAAACGCAACGATAATGTATCCGAGACAGGAATATCAGCCTTTTAAGAACCAGTATCCTAACGGATATTACAATACAGGTTTGGATAATAATTTTCAAGTAAACCCGGTATCACAAGATCCAAARATAGCATGGTCCAACCAACAACAACCTCAAGCATTACACCACAAAATGGTATACCCAACAGATATGAATCCAGCCAACAACTCAAGGTACAAACATTAATTGATAAATAACTCATTATTATGGTGTGTTGTATGTATTATTCTTAAACCTACGCGTAAGTTTAGACCGATGGTAGTATAGCATAATATTATTAATGTAGACTCAGGCGATGACGATCATCCATCTAACCTCAATTATCGTAACCGTTGCGGTTTCCGTAGACGTCAAATCATTGASTCKGAGTAATCGTGACTGCAGCATTGCTATCCTTATATAACTGCGATGACCAAGCCTTAAAAGRCCGCATTAACTATTATAATACAACTACAGTTGATCTGTGATTGGACTTCGAAACGAGAGTAAAAGACAATCTTGTCTCATAACTTTAACAAATCAAAAAAAGCTTGTTTTACCTGAAGGTAAGTCGGATTTTAGTGATGTTCTTTGAATGAGAGTTCGGGGGATAAATGGTTTCATACACTTGGGCTTGGGCAGTTTTGGTCGCTTTGACATTCTTCTTCTCTTACACTTCTTTCTCAATGGTTTTTGATTTGAAAGTACCTTCTTTCAAATAATCTTTGAAATACCTTCATGTTATACTCATCAATGTTTTGGCAATTGAACTGCTGCTGAAACTGTATGTAGAGTTATAATCAGCTCTCGTGTAATTTTAAAACACTGAAATGGTTATCACGCAACACCATTCAGTGAATGGAATCATCTTGGTTAGAAACTCGCCCTCGGTCGTTAATCAACCTTGGTGTGCGTTTGAGAGAGGTGTAAATCAACCGGAGCATCGATGTAAGCGTACGCGCCGTCAATTGTGATCCTCGAGGTCGTTTAGAACGGCACAGATTCATAAGTACGATAATAGTATACCCTCGGTCGATAGTCGAGGTCGTCCGAGAACATCGTAGATCATAGCACGATATACCCGTCGTCGCTGGTCCCCGGCCAAGGTCGGTTAGGAACGAATGGCGATGCTTATTTTTAAATATGGTAGCTGTAATAAAATAAGTTGGCTGTTGACCGCTGTTTTCGTACAGCGCGATGGTTTTAGGATGGTACATAGTCTAGGAGATTGATACTATTGCTGTATTTTGAAAGGGAAACTTCATTCGTCCGAAGTCTATTTTAAAACTGATAATATTTATAGACAGGATATATTTGCGCAAACACTTTAAAGTATGTTATTACAATAAGTAGCTTGGAAGTTTTCTCTCAAAATAAAATTAGATGAAAGATAACTTCATATATAGGTATATAGCAACCTTTTTTTTCCTATTTTGTATGTACAAAAGTGAAACACAAATCAACAGGAAATACCGACCGTGTATTGCTTGTGACGGTGACAGCATTTCTTCCCGATTTTTACCACATCCTATTCAGTAGCAAACTTGGTTTCGAGACGACTTTCTTTTTACTTAGAAACTCTTAATTCATAAAACCTTATCATTGCTGAAAAGATTGGTTTCATTTTGTTTTTGAACACATCGACGAAGGTAAKAAATATTTAATATTAATGACAGTGTAGTTATTTTTTATTCCAAAATATTATTATAGGTTATGAACGGAATTACTCACTTATAATTCTGCATTATGAATCATTGAACTAATTTAGACAACATTGACGTAATGAAAGTCTTGAGGTTTGTTGAAGCATGTAGGTTGTGTATTCATGACTGGTTTGCGGTCATAAAGAGAACGATTTCAACAGTTGTGTCATTTGTGTAAGGGCTACTTWATGTGCAACCATTTTGAGGTAAAAATTCAGGTTCGAGATGTTATAAATTATCGAATATTCATAGAATCTGCTTTGTGGTTTTGTAGGGGTAGAATAGACTAGATGGCTGAAACTAGAACACAGCCAATCAGTAAACACTTCAACTGTTTTCACTTTCATATCTTAGTGTATGGCCTTCAAGATGAACTAAATAATTCATAAAAGTGGAATGACTTATAAATGTGTAAAACAAAGGTTATTGTGATGTAATTATTTGGAATAGAACAACAGAGTGATGTTTCAAAAACAAGAACAGTGAAACAGTACGCAGTTCGAGGAGGAAGGAGTGCTAGTGCCAGTGACTCTAAAGTGTGTTTTCTTTACTGCCTATGAATTACTCTTTTATTAAATTCTATTCATTATTTTTACAATAATGTACATGGAMATAATAAATTACAAACGTTTACTACCTTAAGCTCGCGAATAGTTGTACAACAATTATTGTACTTGTATTCTTTCATTACAATTGCTAAAATTCAAGTTGGATTCAGATTTTCGACTAATCTACGCAAGAAGCCGGATTTCTTCATAATTCTAACTAGTCCCTGATTTAGTAAGGTTTAGTGGAATGGAAGGAAGGGGCCAGGCTATTCCCTTTCGTCTTGTTATCCTGTCTGTCGGTTCAGTCGTGTAATATCTATAAAAGCCTCCAGTTCCTTCCCCTTCGTTGATTTTTTTTACGGTATTCCGTGTTCCTTGGATACTTTTATCAACGATTTTTTAAATAATCTTCTTGATACATGCCTTTCGTATGTGAACATACTTCTGTCTGAGTACTCAATCTCGGAGTTAAAAATAAACCGTCGTAAAAGCAGCAATTCTGGGCGAGGTCGAATTTTCAGAATGGGATGATATGGAGGTCAATAACTTCTCACATGTCTTGCAATCAATAACATGGAATACGAAACTATAATAAAGGCGGATTTGCCAAGAGAACACAGATTCAATGAAAGATTAAAATATATTTTCGATCATTATTTTCGTTAACGTCCGCCATCTTGAATTTTCTGACATTTTTTTTCCTGTTCCTTTGTTTGTAACACGCCGCTGGAAATTTACGTAACTGAACCGGRTTTTCCATATCCGTTGCTAATGGATATTATCGGGGTCTGTTGTTATTGTTGTTATTTTGAAGCAGGGTATTTTTACAGGAATTACAGTAAAGGAARTAGTTCGATAGAATATAAAATTTTTCATCACTTTTATTCGAAATAGTGTCTACYTCTGTGATAAAYTCCTTTGAATCCGTGGCATCGCTATTGTCATTGATAAGTGTCATATTTTACTTCAAAACTTATCTTTCTGGAAAATAATTTCATTCCGCGATTGAGGAAAAAGACAGAAAGTTATGCASACAGACAGATGGCTAAGATCATTATATCTAGCCAAATATATGAACTATAAGTTTGATACATTCGTCGTGACAGCAGTCACATTCATAGAACTAAGACTGGATAATGCGGGAGGGTTCCTTCCTCCCATGATGCATTGTTTCTCACCACAAGCAGGAAATGTACTTCAAAATAACAATGAAAAAAAGCCAAATCGTGACATTGTCTTTCTTACCTATGGCTAACAGTACTCAAGCATCGAGGAAAATTGAGTTTTGAAAAAAAAAGTACTTTATAGTTGCATAACCCGTGAAATAGAGATTTCGCACTCATAAAAACCGTGAAAAACGAATTTGTAGCGTCTCGCTAAGTTGGCTCCTGAGATCCCGTCCTAATGGAAGCTTTCTTGTAACTCTACCAATTTTTGTAACTCTACCGTTTTGCATTCCCAAAGAAAAATGCTCTAAATTCGACGTTTTGTGAAACGTTTCTATAACAGGAGAACCCCGTTGAGGGACCGGAAAACAACAACGSTATCTCAACTTTGTTTTTGTTTTAGACATTTCATTAAGTTCCGCTGAAAAATGTTTGAAATACTTTTGAGGGCAAAGTTGGAATAGTGTGCTAACGTTTAAAATTGTACACACCGAGTTGCGTTGTCCTTCGTTTTGGACTCTGTGCATTAAATGGATTAAACTGCAATGAATTTTAAAAAGGAAATACATTGTGCAATAATGAAATCAAGAAAAAAAAAACACTTAAAAAAAATGGCGAATGTTAGTCAATAATGTCTATTTCTCGGACTTGATAACTACTTTCTACTCGGAAATGAAACATTGACGATTATAAGATAGAAAAAATGAAAGAAAAAGAAAAAAAATCAAATTTCTTCAACAAGTAAACCGTTTCACTGTACTGAAGTCACCAAACCCGTGAGCATCACAGTACTGCGAGGATACTTGACTCCAGATGAAGGACAAAATGGCATGATTGTAGGCATGATTTGATGCCGTTCAAATTCCTGTCACGTGAAGCATGACTCATACGTGACTTGCACTGGTATTCTGRACTCATTGTGATCTTTGGTTTGATCCTTCAGTTCACGGCGAATCTTACATGTGCCTAGTTCAATAGAAATGAGGATAATCAACACGTATGGCGCTCCTTGCAAAGACTTCGATTCGTGTGAAATTCGACGTACTCAACATGTCTCAACATAGAATGTGCACAATCTGGAGTAATGGGCTCCTGGCACAATAGAACGTTTGATCGATCAGCCATGAAACCAAGCATAACATACTAGCACGAATACTCGTAATATCATTAATTTTCAGTTGGCTCACTATTAATTCACGTATGCAATTCAAAAGCGACATTTCAGTAGTGTCATTCATGGAAATAATTCCTAATCGCTCAAGTATGCTCCACGTGAATGCATAAAGTTATGGTACAACTTATACAAATTAATACTAAGATCCGATATTTTTATCCCAATGGTAGTTTAACACCCTTAAGCCTGTACACCCCCTGTACATTCCGATTAAGCGCGTTCGTGCTAGAGAACCATCGTGTAAGCTTATATACATGATTCACGCGAACAATAACTCATAATAGCTTTGATTATTCTTGAGCTTCATTGACGTCAGTGCACGTTAGCCCGTGAGAGCATCACTGCCAAAAAGAGCCTAGTTTGAGACTCTCTCGGTTGTACGCTTCAACAGGAATCAATCAAATTCTTCATCACTGACGTTGCTTCTTAATTTAGAACGTCGAACCAAAACTCCCGCGTGCATTTGTTGATATTCCTGTAGTTGCGTGATTCTGGTAATGCAATAGTTAAGTAAAGGACAGAGATTAGTAATAATATTCTCGAACTCCTCCTAATAGATACTAACACCGTAAAATAGCTTCCGTCCGGGGGCGTAATTTCAACGTCACAAGAGTTATTTCACTGTTTGACGTCATTATAAGCTTGTGGAACAAACAGTTTAGCATAACTGCTTCATCATTTCTGAGTGTGTCTTCAGCAGCTTGGTAGTCGGTCTATTTTACTTCTGTTATATATCATTTGACGGCATTCAGCTAACGTTAGATGGATCTTCTGTACCCTAGACTTACTATGTAAGTTTATAATATGTCTTGGGGGTGTTTATAGCGGAATCAAGATGCATATTGATTTCCTTTCCGTTTCAGAATCGATCCCACACTGGCGTACCCTGTAGCTATTAGACCAAGTTCTTTTGAACACGGTCGGTTTATTGATAAAATGCAGCCAGGATTCCCTCGTGTCAAGACCGAAAAATACTTCGAATCGCCTTATCCAGAAGATACAGTACCATTAGGTAAGTCACTTGATCAAACTATTCGAAAAAAGTGGAGAAATTATAATATYAATAGAAAATATCATAAAAAAGTGATACTATATTCAATTATGATATATACTGAGGAAAGTAAGAAGTAAATTAGCATRTATAGGTTGATAGTCCAAGAATACAAAGGACAAACATAAATGATTTATACTGTCATATTTTTAGCATTAGTGCATGTTTACATTCCGATGCAATATTACCACAGAACAAAGAAACTCCGGAATTAAGACACAGAACACGCGCACACATTTTCGATCCTGATTCATAGACTCTAGAAATCCGGTCTCTTTCTTCTGAAGGAAATTGACTCTCTTTACAAAGGGAAGTCATTAATGTCTCGCTGATAAATGGCACTGAACCATGCTTCCTGATTGTARTTGCTCAACCGTACATGCATACTGATGAATGAATCAGCGCTTCACAACGCCACAAGCACGCAAAYCGACTATCTTTTCTTGAAATTCCTATTAAAAAATTCTAATACTAGTAAAGAAAACCTAGACTCTGAGACGTCTCGGCAATTCCACTAAAAGATCTTATGCCTCTTAAAGGAGTGTACATTCTTTAGACATTTTCACTCGGGGCTCGAATTTCTAGCTCCCCCCACCCTATAATGTATGAAAATTATTGATAACAACATCCATACCATCTTGGAAGAATTTTATGTTTCTGAAATCAGTTATCGTCAGTAAGGCTGAGTTTTTTAGACGCTAAATGGTAAGCCGAAAAGTTGAACTTGGCTTTTATTTATTTTGATTTTTTGAGTATTTGAGTTCACCTTGACTTTTAAATACTTTTTGATTGAAAAGTTCACTGATATAAGGATAATACGTCCACTGATAAGAAATAATAATATTTTCACAAGCCAATTTTGTTTAGGGAATTGTAACTGACAGTTATGTTTTTATAACTCCATTTTGAAATGAGCAACTACACTGTTTAACTTGCCTGAAAAAAATATGTAGCGCAAACATGCGAAAAGGGACAAAAAGAAAGAAAAATTACTTTCTATTATAACATTTTATCGCTAAACTCACTATACATTTTGAATAAAATGGAAAACAAATTCAAGCAAATTTGAAGTATCATTACTAGACAGCCAGATAGTCACGAACGACAAGATAAGATGACAAGCAACACTATAAGGGTTTATAGATATCTTTAGTAAACAACAAGGGTTTATAGATATCTTAGGAAACAACCCCATGGGGCGCACTAGAGTTGTTGAACGTTGCTTTCTGATTCTACAATTGTAGTTCTGATGGAAATGAGAGGTGCCKTGACCTCATTTCAAACAAAAAATCGCGAAATAACATAAACTGCCAAACTAGAAAAAACATGACTAAATTATGGATCTTAAGTAAGGACGCACGGCACGAAGGAAGCGATCATCGGTTCTTTTCATGCTTCAACCAAGTGAATACATTGTATGTGTGATCTCGCAAAGTATAGGAGCCAAGAATACCTTACTTCGATCTAAAAATAGATTATGACGGGAGTAGAAAATAGACCGGCAAGCTATAGCGACAAAGAATGTAATCACGTGATCACATCTTTTAGGATAAAAAACAGTGAATGATATAATAGTACAGAAGGTGCGGTGGCCTACTGGGGAGGGGTAGGGGCGGGGAAACATTACCTATAGGTGTGTCTCATAACCAGCATTTAATGCACAAACAAGTGTTCATTTGATACTCGATTATGGAGCAGTAGTTGCAAGGTTACAAGTGTATTTCTCATCAACTCTCTCGAATGCAGTCAAAAACAGTTCTATCAGTGSTAAAAAAGATAACGAAGTATCGAATATCGACAACAATCGAAGATCATTCAWCACTGAAAAAATTGTTGTGTTAACCATAAATAGAATGTTTTCAACAAGTCTTTAACATATCAATAATTCCGAATTAGGCATAAACTATACAATWAAGAGAATGCAAAATAACACGAAAGCCTKCTTAGATGCGTCACCATAGCACAAACGAAATTGCGTCAATATAATCACTTGAGTGATTCCGACAAGTGTTTATTAGCATTTCATTGCCATTTTACTCTTATATTATGCTGATAGCGATGGTTTTGACGATGTACTGACTATTTAGAATCAATCAACTAATTCCCACTTGACATAAGCATCAGCCATAAGAATACAAAAAATAACAAAACTTCATTGACATTTGCTGTGTTCCTTGTTSTTATGCTTGCGTTTASGTCACACGCTTGACCATTGTTTTCTGCWTACAATCGCTCTAGGCTTTCATTGATTGATTCTATAATTAACTGAAAACAGGTTTCAGATTAAAATATTAAGATAATATTTCTTGTATTAATTGTAGTAGACCCCCGTCTTTGGTCAAGAGAGGACGTCGCGCGATGGCTACAATGGGTTTCCGACGCGTACAGCTTACACGACATCAAACCTGATCGATTTGAGATGAACGGCAAGGGATTGTGTTTAATGACATTGGACATGTTCCTGTACAGAGTTCCCGAAGGAGGAAGAGTACTATATCACGACTTTCAACGCAGATTAAGAATCGCTGTTGGTTCATAGTCCTCAGCACTGTTTTTGCTAGAAACCAAATGGAAAGGCTTTATGTTTAAAAGTAGATCGGCTATTTGSGGCAAGAGAAATCCTTATTAACGAGATAAGGCATCGTCTGGGAAATAATCTTCAAGGGAAAAGATATCCAGAAGATATAAAACAATAAAAAAAGATAGAGCAACGCAAGAAAAACAAGGACGAAGGACTCCGACGTATCAAGACTTATTTGTTCATGTTTGATAATATATTTGTATATATTTATAAACGAAAGAGATTGCTAGGTTTTTATATGTCATTCGTTTATATCAGTTCGCAACACATCCAGCGTACTATTCATGTGTATATAATGCATTCGTAGCAGTATGAATAAAAACAGACAATAAAACAAATCAAGGCCAGATATATAATATTTGTCTCATTTTGAAGCCGGCTATCAATTCTTCTTTCTTTAATAAAAAGACCAGGAGAGTAGAATAAGTAAGTCTTCGATGTACACTATATACACTAATAGATTATACACCAATATAATTATCTATTGGTGGTGGCAAATCGTACTTCGGTTGAATTATCAGTCGACGTATCCCTTCCTCCATGGGCAGCCCACCTGACCGTCCCCTCCCTTCCTTTTGCAAGCTCAAGGAGACATTTCCGATCCCTTCGGAGGAAAACTCAAGGTTATAATCTATCTGACTAACCCTAGTGATGCATTTGTAACTGGCGTAGTCTAGTGGTGTACAGTGTCAATTGATCTAACCATTGCCTAGTATTCATATCGTCTACTTTGACCCAAGGAACCAAGAACTGTGCCGGCTGCTCCCACCTGRGTAGGAAAACAAGCACATTTGTAGCGTCACAATGGCAATTCGTCATAGGGGAGTGGGGGAATTATTAATARGGAGGAGCTCGGCGAACCTTTTTGGGTAGGAAGTAAGAAACCTATGTTGTACCGTTTTGGATCTTGCACTACAACTTACCTTCAACCATTGAAGGGTTATAAAGAATATTCTTAGATGCAGCAGCCAATAGCCAATCTTGAAGGGTTTATTTGTTTTTAAACAGCTATATTATCAATAATAATTAGTTGGTATTACATACCAGGCATTAGCCAAATCCTTGATCGAGATGCATTGCGACAATGCTTTGGACGCTTTGTTTAATCCATCTTGAACATGTGGAACGATTTGACTCAWTTCAAAAGTGTCTTGTAGGTTGACTTCTTGCTGCAGACCTGTAAATAAGATATTGTAGAGGGGGAATATAATGCTCGATCCTGTTTGACTGAMGACACAGCCTTATCATAGCACATCGCGATGGGGTGGAAATACTATACCATTCTATCCATTTCAAGTATATATGCTGAGTCAATTTTTAAAGAATGGAGATCAAAATTCCAAATCAAAATTATTGTCGCTCAACTTTATCAGCAACGTGGCACACCATACATGATTCTAAATGATCAGCGATTGACTTCGTAATCTATTATCAATAGGAGCGCASACACTTTTTTTCCGAGGCACTCTATTTAAGGTATTAGCACTGATCTGTGACATTTTACTAAGGAAAGTGCCTCACTTGCTCTTGACAGCCACGACTCTGATTATCATGAATCTGTTTGGAAAACCTAACCCACTTACCGTTCAAATGATTTAGAATCTCTTTTGTTGAATTCTCGTCTTCCATTTCACTGATGTCTTGTTCTCTCTTGTGGACTAATGCCGACGTGTCTTCAACTAAGATATTAATATAATTATTATCAATGCACGTTATTCTGAGGAARCTCAATCAAGCCATCATAGTCAAGACAGCCATCCTTAGAATGATGGCAATGATAATAATCGTTAATAATCATAGCGATAATGATGATGATGACAACATCTTACCGGTTTCTTTCACTTCCATAATTCTTGGAAGCAACTCTTCTGGAGCCTAAAAAGACAAAATATAAATGTTAGAGAACGATCTTGTGACAAAATCGTTTCTTTAATGTGTTCTGTGTTCCACCCACCTTATAAAAAGGAAAGTCTAACTTGTCTAAGACTTGGGCAATAGCTGCGCCCCCAGGTCTGTTACTCAGGTTTTGCAGACGGTGTATTGTCAAATCATCGACGGGAATTCTCTCCCCACTAAGAAACGACAAAAAAAGATCATGAAACATTTTGAATATAAGGGGAATAAGTGAATGGATGAGAGAATGGAAAGGAAGGTGAAKATGAATGAAATAATCGGAAGGACAGCTCTGAACATTGAAAAATGAAAAAATAATTTTATTATGTCACAAAGACAGCGACAACAATCCGAATAAGATGTAAATAAAAGGGATGTAACTAACCTCGGCATGTTGACATGTTGTAGACGAGTTATCGGAAGCAAGGCAAACTTGTCAACGTCACGTGATACAGCATGGCGAAGTCCCGCTGCCATAGCAACAATATGAGCTTGATGTGGACAGATGCTATTTTGGATGTAGTGAAGAAGCTAACGAAAGAAATTTGGGAAAATTGTTAAATCATAAGTATTTTACCGACTGCATGGACACAGTATTATTAGAAGTGACTCTGCCTAACTGGCTTTATTTGTACCTCGTGCTTTTGCTTTTCCAGGTTGGTTCTCGCTGCAAAGTTCTGTTTGACTAAAGCTTGTATCACTGACTGCTTGATTTGCTGGAAAGATAATAATAATATAATTACAGTAAGCTGCATGGGCTGCATATTTTCGAACATTGTTTTTATTTGCTTATCATCAGGTATTGCCCTATTTCATTATGACGTTAGAGTACCTTTACATCGGCGAAAGGATCGGGGCTCAAAACAGTGTAAATTTAAACCATTTAAATTCGGCCCTCTGAAAGTAGAACTTCAATGTCAAATGTTTTAATATGTATCAAAGTCTAAAAGATTGATCATGTTCATTTTATTTGATATGTAGTCACTCCTATGTTCCCCTATGGCGACCAATAACCTTTGATGTGACGTCATAATGTAATAGGTCAATTATCAGATACAGTTATTGATTTCAACATAGTTAATGGTTTCAACTTTACTTACAGCTAGTTTTTCAAAGTCTTTTATCTTGTCATATTTTGACTGGATGGTTTCAAAAGCTGTCAGTTTTTCTATTCTTGAGTTTTCTAGATTTTTTATTGCTGATTGTAGATATGCCAATGAGGCCTTGGCTGCTGCTAGTTCCAGTTCACTGTGATAGAGGGTCCTGTAATTATAACACAGTATTTTCAGTATTCGCAAAGAGCAGTTTTGTTAAATAAGTTTACTAGTAAGTTAAATTGCACTTACTAGATCCGTAATATACAACGTTTATAGATTGATGGAGTGATCGCACTTAAACCGTGCAACTGTACAAAATCGAAGTAGTACTAATTTGTACTAAAAGTGGACCTGAAGCAAGACGGTAGAACTATTATCAGTTGTATTATCAGACTCTTTGCGAGGTGGGCTTCAGTTGAAGGCCAACTCTCAACTGTAATTTTTCTTTTTAAAATCTTTTTATTATTATATTCACTAGTAAAAAATAGCAACTTTTCGATAGTGAGGTATTTCATAAATAATTATATTTTGAATGTCGTTTATTGTTAGTGATAATATGGAAAGAACTTTGAAGTACGTCGTCCACTCGTCTTGGTTCCCGGGGATGGCTTCTGCTTCGCTCAGTTAAATATTTCTAATTTTAAAATTGTATTTTAAAAGAATAGTTTTTATAACACCCCAATATTATTTGCACCTTATTTTTTTATGATGTATCAAACTTTATAACGCTTCCAAAAAAAACTCTCGAAATTATTTAATATAGCTTTACCTGGACAAATCAGCACTTCCTGGGAGTCCCCTGTACCTGGACTCCATTCTGTTTTCAATATCTTTGCTGAGTTTCTTCAATTCCTTGTGTAYTTTCCAAGCTTCATTAGCAGCTCTTTCAGCATCCAGAAAACAAGTAAAATGTTGTGACTGGCCTTCCTGTTTCATAACCAAACAAAGTACATTTAACAATAGTTTAATACTGGGTGATGAGAGATTTTTTAAATCCAGTATTTTCCAGGAAGAGCTGCAGTTAACTTAAAGTTGGTTGGAATATCATAAWGTGCTCATTTTGGAAATGAAAATTGAGACACCTAATGGAGTAAATAAACCCATCTTAGGATTTGCTATTCTGTTCTTGAACCTTCCAGATAGATTAAAATACTGTGGAAAACGTTGGATGGAAATCACAGACTAATTTAGRCAATTTGTGACAAGAAAAATTGAAATGTTATCTGAGGGTGTCAAAGATGTAAATGAATCAAAACTGAGCAGACAATTTTTGGATGTTTCATAACAAAGTGATCTATGTTTGAGTTGGTTTTACTTACTTCAATCAATTGGTGGACACTTTGAAGCAATGATGGTGGGTGAGAGGTATCTGTTAGTTTGCCTTTTTGATATAAAAACCTTCAAAACAATAAATTACAAATAGCAAAGTATTAAGAGAGAAGTCACATAATATCATTGTTATACACCAGAAAAGCAAATTTTTCCATAACAATAATTTTTTTGCCATCTAGCTTGGCCTTCACTGGTCACTATGTAAGAAATAAAATTTGTTATCGTTTTAACTAYCTTACTTGAGGTCTTCAGCATCCTTCTTTAAGTCAATAAGAGCAGTTAGCTCCTTTAAATTCATAGTTGAGTCCTGCGTTGTCAAAGCCAGTGAAGATAAGATGTCCTCTGCAGATTGCCTACTAAGAATACCCTGAAAATCAAAAWGACAAAAATTGCTCAAATCATTTCTTTGCCTATCATTRATAGTATTCACACAGCTGTTRAYGTAATAACCAACAAAACCAGGTGTTTTCTGTTTGCTCTTTTATTATTGTTATGAAAACATTATCACAGCAACAAAAGATGGCACAAGGTTGACAAAATGTGCTTTCAAACTGCTTGTCTTTTTTTTTTTCAAATTTGCTATCATAACATTTAATTTATTCTTGAATTCTATTAGTACCTCTACTTGTGTCCAAAGTTGATCTTTATTAACTCMAACAGCATTCTCAGCACTAAAGAGAAGATAATTATACTATTCARTAAGTAGGTTATTTCTCAGGCATTTGTCTTAATAGTTGAATTCCGTGATTTTTTTTCCAGCTGTGTTYGCCTCAATTGTGAGCAAAATATTCAGAAATTTAGATAAAACRTGAGAAATTTCAAACTATTTCCACTGTTTTCTACACTCACAGATCTCTTGCATTTGCACGGCTGTTAGTGAATAAAAGAATTTATTACATGGTTTTGAGGCTAACACAGRGTAAAAGAGATCACTAGTAGTTCAGTAGTCCAATACCTAAAACAGGCTACTCATGAAACTAAGACATAAGATAAATGAATAAATGAAAGGATGCATGATTGTGCTCGGTWGGTTTATGAACTTGATTAAAATATTTGAATATATGTATTATTTATCCTTGATACTTTCATTACTTCTGCAATAAAAACAAAAAGGTACAGGAAAAAAAAAGCTTGAATAAGATCCTGTCAACTCACTCAGTACTTTGATCCAAGTCTGGCTGATCACATAAAGTCTTTAAGTATGACCCYATTGARMCACATGATTCTCTAACCAACCTCTAAAGACAGAAATAACATTTACAAGCTTACCATGTAGAAAACTAAGTGTTTTTTTTTAGCCAATCTGATTAATCTGATGTATTGAAATTAATGATCAACATTTGAGCAAGAACCTCTGCAAGAACCTGGGGAAAGTGAGAGAAGATTAAGTCGACTTACTGTACAAGAAGACTCTAATGCAGGGACATCTTTTTTATCTTTAGTGACTGTTCTTGCTGGAGTTCTTAGTACTGTCTTACTAGAGTCTCGTTGAACTGAATAATATGTAGTATCAACACTGGACTGCCTGATGGTTAGAACCATAGGGTTAGTAGTGACCGTAAACCACAGGCAGACCAACCAATTTTTTTCAATATGATTTAAAAAATATTCTTCATGTATTGTTTGTTTTTCATAACACAAATAAATGTAAATAAATGTACTTTTTAGATTATATCAAAAAAGAACGTATTTTAGAAAATTATATCAAAGAATGAGCTTGGGCTMCCTGTGTTTAACATTGATTGACAGAAGTGATAAGCAAAAAAGGTGAAGGTTGTATTACTAGTATCTAATCTTGCAAAATCTTGCTGATTACCATGAAATATCCGAAATTCAAATGCAGTCAAATGTACCTGTCTGTTTTCATGTTGTCCATTTTATTATGAAGCTGTGTATTTAGTTGTTTATAGGCATTGATTATGTTGTCACAATGCTTAGCATGGGTTGATAATAGAGCATTTCTTTTCTGAAAGTCAGAGACCACTTTTGAAGTAATTTCACTCTCTTGCTCTAGGACAAAAAGAAAAAATAACATTATGAAGTGTGAGCTGTGTTTTTGCTAATCACATGATAAAGTCTATGTTGAAGTCAGAAATCATTAACATAAGTATAGGGAAGGTGTACACTGATTATTGAAGATTTTGTATTTATAACCAGTGTTTAATGTTTGTATCATTGTGTACTAGTACCAAGTTGGTCTTCCCTAAAACAAGAAAAAAAAATTAAAAAAAAAAAAACATTTTAACATAAAATCATCATTTTATTGTACCTGATGCCAGCACTTCTTTCTCTAAATGTTTTAGTTCTTTTTGTATGTTATTGACTTTCTCTGTCAAGTCTTCCATGTSTTTAGCAAGGTCTGRGTATTGTGAGAGRAGTTTTTCTTTTTCGCRTGTTTTTGTTTTATGGATAGGATTATTTTGAAGTAGRTGTTGTCTMTSGTTACTTGTCAAGGTGAAAGTAGAAATGGTATAATAACAGAAAAAGRGYGCTCGCATTTACTTACTATGTAACTATTTATATAATGCGAAGCCCAGAGGGGGTTCGGGGATTAAATCACAGGAATTGATCTCTCCTGTCTCCTTTCTCATACCAACATTGTCTATCTGTGTCCCCTTCCCTTGGCTTCTCAGACACGGCAATAGATAAAATGAATATGCAATATAAGTAGAAGATGTAAAGGATACACTTTGAGATTTCCTTTTATTTTCTGTGCATTCCTATTGTATAAGCATAAAGTCAAAATATAAGCTTAACAATAAGAACAATATTCTGATATAAGAACTTAAAAAGTCATTTCTTTTCTTTTAAAACTCACTTTGTTGATTTAACATGTTTGATAACGAATTCCCACACATCCACCATGGCACCACGACTCAAACTGAAAAAAACAGATAAATCTTGACTTCAATAGCGAAGTCTAGAGTGAGCTTTTCATCGGGTCTCTTTTGAAGGGGAAGAAATCTTCCTCTACTGTAATTAAGCTTAACTACTTACAACAAACACTATGAGACGCTGTTGGGCCAAAATATTTTATTGTACAAACCGCTGAAGAATATATATCCTGCAGTTTTTAACTGAAAAGCMACATGAACAAGTCTATGTATTTATACCATCCATAAGTTATAACTTAAGCTTAAGTTAAAGTGTTTTATTCGGTTAACTCACAGTTTTAGGTCTTCAGCTGTTGGCAGAMGATCGTTAACATGGCGGCCTTGAGGTCTAATGCCCATCTCTTCGACAGCCCATTTTAGCAGTTCATGGCTTATATCACCATGCCGATTGGACATTGTACGAGTTAACTTTTTGTTGTCACTCATGCTACAAGATAACACGCAATTGTTTTTTTACAAGTTTGGCGCCTTTTTGTTGTCCAGTTTCCTTGCTCTTCAGTCAGCTCGTCCCAGGATTTACCAACGCTATAACACAGGGAGCCCAAATAAGGATATTGCATTTTACTAAATGAACGGGAAGTTTATTAGCAATCTAAAAAAAGATGTCGATTCATATTATAACGTTCTATTTCGAGCCGTTAGTTTCTTGTCACAGTTAGCGTGACGCACGACTCCCGCTCAATTAAGGTCTTTGAGATGAACGCAGGAGTTTTAAAATGTTCAAAACAAATCCCAAAAATACTGTGTAAGTAAGAAAAAACATTTGATAAGTTTATTAGCAATCTAAAAAAAGATGTCGATTCATATTATAACGTTCTATTTCGAGCACTTTAGTTTCTTGCCACAGTTAGCGTGACGCACGACTCCCGCTCAATTAAGGTCTTTGAGATGAACTAAATGAGCGGGAGTTTTAAAATGTTCAAAACAAATCCCAAAAATACTGTGTAAGTAAGAAAAAACATTTGATAAGTTTATTAGCAATCTAAAAAAAGATGTCGATTCATATTATAACGTTCTATTTCAAGCATATTCGGTTTCTTGTCATACTTAGCATGACGTACGGCTGCCGCTCAATTAAAGTCTTCGATGCACTAAATGAGCGGGAGTTTTAAAATGTACAAGAAAAATTCCAAAAATACTATTTAAGTAAGAAAAAACATTTGATAAGTTTATTAGCAATCTAAAAAAAGATGTCGATTCATATTATAACGTTCTATTTCGAGCCGTTAGTTTCTTGTCACAGTTAGCGTGACGCACGACTCCCGCTCAATTAAGGTCTTTGAGATGAACTAAATGAGCGGGAGTTTTAAAATGTTCAAAACAAATCCCAAAAATACTGTGTAAGTAAGAAAAAACATTTGATAAGTTTATTAGCAATCTAAAAAAAGATGTCGATTCATATTATAACGTTCCTTTTCGAGCACCTTGGGTTTCTTGTCACACTTCGCGTTACGCTAGGCTCCCAACAAATTTGTTTCTTAAAGAAGTTTTTTGTCCCACATGGCAGAGCAGGTCCCCAGTGGCTGGTATAAATAATACACGATGAGATTAATTTCACACAAGGTGTTAGTCATTAGTGCTTAGGGTCCGGCTAATCATCTCCCTCATTGGTTGGATGGGTGCCCCGTTTTGATGGTACTTTTTTATTTTTTTTAGCGTGACGCACGGCACCCGCTCAATTAAAGTCTTCAATGCACTAAATGGCTGGGAGTTTTCAAGTACAAGAAACAGTTAGCGTGACGCACGACTCTATTAGCAATGTAAAAAAAAGATGTCGATTCATATTATAACGTTATATATCAAGCATATTCGGTTTCTTGTCATACTTAGCATGACGTACGGCTCCCGCTCAATTAAAGTCTTCGATGCACTAAATGAGCGGGAGTTTTAAAGCGTACAAAAAATATCACCAAAATACTCTCTAAGTAAGAAAAAACCTTTTACAAGTTTATTAGCAATCTAAAAAAAGATGTTGATTCAGTTATAACGTTTCTATTTCGAGCACCTTTGGTTTCTTGTCACAGTTAGCGTGACGCTACTTTCCCGGTTAAACCCATTGCTGGAACTGATAACTGAAAAAAAAAAAGAAAATAAAAAAGTAAAAAACAAATTTGTTTCTTAAAGATATTTTAGGTCCCACATGGCAGAGCGGGTCTCGAGTACGACGGTGTAAGAGGGTAGCTAAAGGTATGCTCTAGTGGGCGGCTACCCCCTCACTCCCTGGTCTTTTAGTTAAGACTAAGTTTAATGTTCACTCGGGATAGCGTGGAAGAGCCGAAATCTCTTGCTGTAACGTAAGCCGATTCGACGCGTCAGCTTCATAGACTGTCTCGGGGGAATCGTCCCATCTTTTTAGTTTTTTTATTATTTCTTATGTATATACCGGGGGGTTACATCTTCTTCTGAAGTGAAGTTCCTGAGTTCAAGTTCTGCTGGTGGAATTTCTCTTTTTCCCTTTTTTATTGACTCTTTTTCGTTTGTTTCTCATTTTTTTTCTCCTTTCTTGCTTTATATATGCTTTTTCTCTTCTTCTTTTTCTTTGCTCTTGTTACTTTGCTGTAGGTTTTTTTCTTGGGAGTTTCTCTGGACTCGCAAGGAACGCCTGCTACAAGTAGATGGTTTCGGCTTCGGTCATATGAACAGGATGACGTAAGTGACGAGAGGCCTCCCTAATTGTTTTAGTATTGCCATACTAGTTGGACAAAAAAAAAATGAAATATATAAATAACTAAATGATTTTATTGCTAAAAATACGCAAAAATTTGTCGCTCAGTTTCGCTAGTCGAGGACTATTGAAAATAGACCCCGAGTAGCGTAGCCAATCAGAACGAAGGATTTGCAATAGTCCACTAGTATGGTAATACTAAAAGCCTGTATTCCCAGAAGGATCTAACTCTATGTCTTGTGACCCTAACCCCTAGTATTCTCAAATCGGAGAAGATCAGGAGCCACAGAGGGCCCAAGATTAGTGTATGAGAACATGTAGAAATAATGAGTGGGTAACCTTGTTCCAGAGGTTTGAAGCCTTCTACTTTCTAGGCAATATATAGAGTCAGCTACTTATTTATGGCAATCATCATGTTATTATTCCCAATCCTCTGTGTTATGCATGACTATCTAGCGCACACGGCTTCACGCTGTGATAGGGTCTCCTTGCATCTCAGAGCTAAAACGGTTTTTGTAATTTCCGTTTCGCAGCTTTGACAGTCACTCTCACATGTCAAATATGTCATGGTTTCCGGGTTACTTTTAAAAGTTAGAATATACCTTTTTCCTGTCCAATGTTTTTATGGCAATGATCACGTTAATTATTCCTCTGTCCCATGCATGACTATCTAGCGCACACGGCTTCACGCTGTGATAGCGTCTACTTGGATCTCAGAGCTAAAACGGTTTTTGTAATTTTCATCAGTTTCGAAGGAAGCTTTGACATGTCACTCCCACATGTCAAATATGTCAGTCATGGTTTCTGGGTTACTTAGGAGCGGCGGCACAGAGTCTCAGATTGGTACTTGTCAGGAACTACAACGAAAGAGACTCCCAAAACAGCAAAGTCGACAAACAAAATGGATGATCTTAATATGTCTCACATCTTACGAGACGAGGTAGAAAAGATAGGCCATGGTGTTCAGTTGGTAGCCCAAGACAATGTTGATTCAAAAACATTAGTGTGTTACCTTGATGATCAGCGTGATTTTCATTATGGTTTCTGTTACAAGAATGGTAGCAACCTTCGTGTAGTAGTCTGGGATCGGGAGGACAACGCCATGAAACGTCAAACACCGCCTAAAGGCTCACATATCATTGCCTTCACATCAGAAATGACTGAAAAACGACTATCAAAAGACACGTTCATTGACCAAGATTTCAACTTTGAATGGTTTGGAGTGGATAATCAAAATTTGGTAAAGGAGGAGCTGGAATCTTTGATCAAGCAAGAAAAACTAAAAGAGCTTATGGACAAGTTACGTGGCCTTAATATTCAAGAAATGGATGAGGTGACGGCTACAGTGGACAAAATGAAGAACTAAACGTAGATGATTGTCAACATTTTTTACCGTGTTTTTATAGTTTTCATGAACATTGCAATTGTAGATTGTATTGCTAGAACAAAATAATAAGATTCATAAGTTCACAACAGAATCTCTAGATTTGTCGTATTAGTGCAGAGAATAGATGGTGTCATAGTTCGTCATTGTAATGATGTACGATTACGTTGAGCTGTAGTTTGGTTTATTCCAAAATATGAAACATAGGGTTCAGCAAAGTCTCTTTTAGCCTCGTCCCCCTCCCTCCCCCCGGCTTTTCTGGTTCTTTCCCTTAGTAGATGCCAAAGACGGTTTTAGAGATAATCTTCTAACCATTGTAGAAGAACCTGGCGGGTATATCTATGAGGCAAAGACCTGGATAAAACGCCGAACTTATTTCAGTTCAAATTTCATCATGACCAAACTTTCAAGAGCTTTAAAGAAAAAATGTTTACTGTCAAATGGTAGTTAATATATTTAGGGTAAAAAACGCAAGGTATCAGCTATACGATTTAAGACCGACTGGAAAGTTTTCAAGTCGCAAGAGAAGTACGGCATAAGAGTCGCTCTTAATGAGATCAAAATATTGACCTTCGCACATTGAACAATACTAAACTTGAATTTGGTACGGCAATAAATTTAGTTTGGTGTTTGACCCATGAATAAGGAAAAAGTAATGGTGCCTATCGACAGGTTACCAATATCATTTTGCGCACTGGGTGCTTGCCGTTGTGCTATTTCCAAAGCGGGGAATGATTTTCCATATATTTTTGCATTTGAATCATGAAAGCATCCGAAAATTTTTTACTTCCTTGAGATAAATTTATATATAGCCTGCGTAGCGGCTCTATGGGAGGGGGAAGGGGAAAACGAAAGGGGAACACGCAGGCTAATTTTTAAATTAAAAATACGGAAGTCGTGCGTTACCAAAATGACCATGCGTTGAAGGATGCAGCTTGATTTTCATATCAAAACTTGGCAAAGGATTGAAAGACATATCAAGTACTTTCCGTTAAAAACAAAACACACCTTCTCGATCCTTCGTGATGGTGTTTTTTCATACGTACTCGTTCGTCCTTGACAAAATGTATGGCCATATGCTAATAATGACGCCTCATAGTACTGAAAAACAAAAACAAAAACAACACATCGACGACGTTTTGTTCAAAAGCACATAATTTAATTTTATATACTTCTCATAGGCTTCGTTTAAATATATAAAAGTCTCGGCTTTCATATTAAAATATTTGACAAATGTTTTAACTTTAAAATTTGTTGTAAGCATCAAAGATCAATGCGAACTGCATCGCTAGCTCTCACCATCAGTTCTGACACTAAATTCTTGAAATTATCAACCGCCTTTGGAGGGTGTATGGAATATATACAATATTTTTTTCAGTAGATTTGATATATTTATCTTATCTATTGTTTTTTTATAACTATATTGTTCCTCAACAACCACAGTTCGATAGCATCTTTGTTTTTMATAAACGTTTTTCTGCATCTTTGGGAACAGACAGTGAACAGGAAAGGCAAGTTCTTGACTCCAAAGATTTCATCGGGTGACTTGATGACTCGCAAGCCTTGGCCATATTTTACGCCGCCACAACAGTCACATTTGCCAGGGCTGTGGAAAACATTTCAGATACATATTATTTTGTCATTTATTGCCTTATTTATAATCATCATCATCATCATCATCATATGATCATCACTGCAATTCTTCCATAATCATCAATATATGAAGTGAAATTCATAAACAGCAACTTTTCTGTTAGTGCTACTTATGAGATATTTTGCAAGAGAAATGTTACCTTTTAAGATATGATTTGATGGAATCTGGTAAAGTAGCCATCTTTAAACTGTCTTGTTCAGTTTTATTGACAGTAAGTGCACATAGATCAAACAGTCTCTACAAATATACATAAAGATATAGGTATGAAGGACGTAAGGAGTTAGAAGTAACAGTTGTTAAATCACAGAAAAGATATTGATATACTTACCTGGGGCTGGTTGCTGGCCGTTTCTCTCCAAAACAATGGATGAAGGATATTGTTGGCYATACGCAAGTYTCTTAGAGGAAGATGTAAAGCTGTGACAGGAAGAGCTCTAATCTGGTTTCCCTCCACACTGAGTTCYCGTAAACATCTATAACCYTAAATGCAATTAATAGGCTAGCTACGGCCACCTCTAKGCCATTGACAACTTAACACTACATARATGTACACTTCAACACTGTGGCTAGATCTACACCCATGACAACYTCTTTACACAAAATACACTGCTATACTGCACCACCTCAACACCAATGACAACTTTATTTAATACACTAACCACCTCTGTACTATGAAGACCTTTACAACCACAAGTTCYACACAACTTATGCAATTACCTGAGATTTCCAATRTCAGTTGGTATGAATGAGATTCGGTTGTAACACATGTCCAGTATTTCTAAGTCTTTTAATTCAAACAGGCTAAAAATCAAARYATTGACACAATTAACATCAGAGTTCAATTTTTACAAGGAGGCAGTCAATGTCTGCAATTTCCTCTTCAATGTGGGATACATTTGAGGATGTAGTTTTCAATGCATTAGAAGGATCTTACCATTTAGGGAGTGAAGAGAGAAGATTGAAAGACATATCGAGTACTTTCAGCTGTTTTAAGTTACAGATTTCTAAAAATTATAAAACAAACTATAATTAATTTATGACCTGCATTATCATTCCAAATCATCCCAAACAAAAATATCCAWAGAAGATTTTACAAAGTTTGCACAAAATTCCCAAACTTTATCCCAGCATTCCATCCCACCCGTTCAATTCTAATATGGTAATCAAAAATATATAATGTGGATGTGTACCTACCATGTGGAATCTCCTTGATTGGATTGTTTCTTAATCTCAATGATACAAGTTTATGTAAATCCAGTATTTCAGGAGGAAACACCTGTAAATGGAAAATAAGAGTAAATGAACGAATGAATGAGATAAAGAGTAAATGGACATGAGAAGTAAAAATGAATGAGTAAATGAACAAATAGAAAATAACAAACTTGATAAAATGAACATTTATCGAAGTGAAAAGAAAAATGAATGAAAGAATGAGAAATAGGGTATCTCACAAAAAGGACTGATAGAAAAATTGATACAGCTTACCCAGAAATCATTGAATGAAGCATTAAGATGTGTCAGATGATCAGACAACTGATTCAGAGTTGGTAGTTCACTCAAGAAATGGGCCTGGAAAAAAAGCACAATAGTTAAAGTAGTACAACAACTAAAACTATGAACTTTGTACTTGTATTCATGTCTAATGTACACTATTCAGTTCTATTTAGCATTATTTAGTCAGTGATTTTTCACACTTTTGGTGTTTTAACAAATATTTTATTATTAACTCACTTTGATGTTCAGAGTTGCTGATTCTGTCATAAGAGCATTCAATATTACTGCTTCTAATGGTGTGATTTGAGTATCATCATTATCAGCTGTAGCTGTTAAAAAAATGATTATGATTATGATTACACATGATCAACCTGCAGGAATGAAATTGATGTCATTAAAAAATCAATGATTTATATGGTGAAAAGATTGAAATGCACTTGTATACATGCAAACACTGTGTTTTTTACTTTCAAAAAACCTCCCACTAACTTACCAAAAGGAGACATAGTCCTTGGKAGTGCCTCTCCCTGGTAATACACTGGGGCTGAGCTAGGGAGTACKACATCTAAGTCTCTGTAAGTGATGGCTGGAAATCTGAAATTGATTTGTTTTAAGTTTAATGAATAATTTAGATAAATTTAAATGGCCATCAAACCAGTTGAAGTGGAAATTCAAAGYCAACATTGACCATAAACACTTACTGATCAAAGGTTAATCCTCTTTGTTGTATCCATTGTTCTTGGTTTTCTTGCTCTTTGATAACACCCTCTTTAAACTCAAAACTTTCTTCTATGTCTTCTTTGAAATTAATTTTTTGCTTTCCCATGTTTTTTTCAGTCTCTATCTGATTGCTAGAATAATCATATTTCATTTCTTGATCTATATACATTTGTTTTTCCTCTGTTGTTTTATCATTAACTGTTCTAATTTCATTCCCTCCCTGTGTTTCATTAGATTCCAACTGAGCGRCATCTGTTAACTCCARCCCTTTATATTTGGTCCCTAAAGGCTTCTCTTGGGTGTCTACTTGATAAATATGGTCATCCCCAGAGAAGTCCTCYTGGGCACTTTGTTCAATAGGGGGTAGTGGAGGTCTTTGCCTTGAGTAGTATGTCTGTTTAGATACAGCTGGGGTAACTGGTGTTCCTTTGGGTATTCTATTATCAGCATAACCATAGTAGTCGGGTGAATCATTGAACTCCATGTCTGCTACAGGTAAACTCATCTCTGAATAAAACATTGACAAATGATCTTAATGAAAAAATAATATAATTTACAAAATATTTTCAGAGGGAGAATAAAAGTCAGATTTTTATCCAGTGGACCATACTGGTTCAAATGTATAAACAGTTTGATTCACACCAATATCTGATCAACCCCCCACTCACACTCTCTTTGCAGCAAATAGTGCCTTACCAATGGAGAGATGRCTTGGCGGAATTCTTGGAGTGACATCTGGTACTTCAATGGATGCTACAACAGATATTATTAGGTAAAAATTATTATTAGATAAAAATTAGGTAAATTTCTGCTTATAAGATAGAAAACACAACGATCATTAACCTYATATAAGACTTAAAGTCTTCCTTTTGTTTACAATTATTGAAATTTAAAAGTGTTGTGTTGTTTATATATAAATCAATTAATTCTTAAATTAATTTCACACAATTTGTTAAAATAATCTTCTCATATTTTCTCTGTCCATAAATATTTTATCTTCACTTACTGTCRAACTCAAGGCTGTGTATTTGCGATTGTTTTGGCCGATTAGCGGTCAACCAACTCGTTAATTTTTGATAGTTTTGYTCCGATATCATTATCTCTCTGTGTTCCTCTTCGCCACAACGAGATGGGATTCGCAGCGAGAAATTCTTAAGTGTGAAAGCTGGTGGAGGTTTAGTATACGAGTCTAAAATAGCAGGAGGTAATTCTCTGACTTTTCTTGGTTGTCTTGGAGGCAATGGAGGAGGACCCCGTGGARGATAGGGCTGAACAACGGAGGTGTTTGGTAAGGCAATGTCACCACGATACTGCTGCTCGGATCGTGAGGCCTTTGGTCTGGATCGTGTTCGTGTAGAAATTGTGGGTGATTTTGAGCGAGCTGTAGATTTCTCATCTTCGTTTGAGTAAAATGTTGAAGATGCTGGCTTAGGTATAGGTTTTGGCGGCAAAGGACGCCGTAAAAGAGGCATCGATCTTTGACGACTCGAAGTGGCCGCCATTTTGGTTGATTGAGACGGCTGTTGTCATAGTAACATAAACCAGTACCCTCCAACCAGGCTCTCAGGAGGGTTACTTATGAAATGTTCCTTGGAATGAAAAATCATTCTTGGAGTGAAAAATCATCATTGTTCATTCAGAAAGAGATATTTTGCACTTCTAGAAAAGAAAATACTTTTAGAAAAGCTGATCATAAAAAAGCTATTTTTTGAATAATGTAGTAATTATTTRGTAGTTTATAAATAGGCTGCTAAATAGAATATTGATAACCAATAATTATTTTTCCAAAAAAATTCGCTAAACTTTTTACTAAACCATGCTGTCCGCCGGCCGATGCGGTTCAACCGGTTATTGAAACCGGAAGTATTCAATCTCTGACCGAGTGGGAATGGTGCAAGACGTACGCTTGAGCAAGACAAAGTCCATGTTTTCCTGTGTTCATCATCTGCGTWTTGGATATTTTGGTGAACTTCCCCCTTTTAAGACTCTAAGATGTCTGCATCTAAATCTCCAAAGCTAGAAAGTGGTATAAGAAAACGCAAGAGAAGAAGTTCGTCATCTGAAAATGCGGAAACGTCTGAAAATGGCTTTGTTTTGAAGAAAGCTCGCCAGATCGTAAGTGTTATTGAGAAATACGTAGCACATTTCTACGTGTTCTTTTTGTTCAAAAGCACCGGTCAATTAAGTGGAAGTATTCCATGTAACTTTCACACTAGATAAACTATGTTATGGATCTGAGAATGCATTTTAAATGATGCTTTCACAACATATATATGATTAAATAATTGATTACGGTAGCTTTATTTTTGCCATGCTTCCTCCATAAAAGAGCATTTAGACTGTAATTATTCTTTTTAGATATTTCATGCAAGGGCCATTTAGAAAAACATTTTGTTATCAAAGCTGAATAAACACCATCAATATAACTTACCCTGATATATATATTTTGCTGATTTGAAAAGGAAAGTGTTGCGTAAAATGTTTCTCAGTGGGAACCCTACTTTGATACATAGAAATTGTTTAACATGTAACTGAAAAAACGATCTCGTGGAATAATTTATCTACAATTTTATAGTTATGCCTGTTTCTAGGCTCCATCTGCACCAGCAATATTTTTTGACCCAGAAGAGACAGAAAAACAGACGAAGGATTATGAACCTATCACACTTGAGGAAGCTCAAAATGGAAAAGGTATTGAAGAATGAATAAAACTATTCACAAAATTAACCCATAATGAAAATGGTATTTAAACAATAGCTGTGGCTTTGTTTTGTACTGTCAGGGTTAAGAACATAATTTCCATACTATGCAATGTAAATGTATTATCAATTTTATTAGGATTTRCAAAAAGATCTACACAGAAAAATGAATAATTCATTTTGTAGACAGCAAATCCCCGGGTTTTCCAAAGAAAGTTTTATTACCTTGATAAATGTCTTGGCTAATGGTAGACATCAAGAAAAATGCTGCCTCATGGCTGACACAGACATTCAGGCTGCACCAGATAGATTTGAAAATACAAGATATAGAAATAAAGGAAAGTTATAGGGCTTAGAAGGAGGTTATTTCAGGATAAACACTCGCAGGGATTCAAACTCATGACCATTGAATCTATACTACTGATGCTCTGCCAGCTGAACTGTAAAGTCAAACTAGTGTTCTAATAATTAGCAATTATTGTGCACCAAAATTAAGATCTACACTGATGGATGGATAAAAAGATTTGTTCGAGCACATCTTAATGATGATCTTACYGATTATATAAATACAGGGATTTTCATTAAATTTGGATGTAGTTGTTCTGAAAAATTAACGATATGTGAATCATAGGGGTCYCAAGAGTTTCAACCATAATTTGGAAAATGCAGTMTTCCAAAGGTTAAAAATAGTAGTGMGTCCAAAGATTAAAACAGATGAAGGATTTTTCCAGTTGCTAGCTTCTGATAAAACCCCCTATTGTTTGAAGGTTGTTGGAGAAGCACATGAAAATTATTTTAGCTGACATTTACAATTTTTTTGTGATTTTGACACTGAATTAATTACTGACWAAAATAGATTTGTGAAACTGTATCAAGACAAAACAACTTGTTGTTTGACCACATGCACCAAACCAGACTACCATTCACATTCATTATAGCATCATTTTGTTACCCTTAGGCTACTATATTTTGGGAATCCTTGTATTTTAAATTTTAGTTATTTTTGTGAATATTTTTTTTCAGATTATAGTAACTAATCCACACTAATTACATTACAAAAGAAATTTTCAAGAAATTCTGGTCTTGGTGGTATAGAATGCTATGATAAAAAACTCTCTTATATGTATTAAATAAACGTTTTCAAATTCATTAATATATTCCTTTTTCTAGCTACCAGACCAATCCGTGTGTATGCTGATGGGATTTATGACTTATTCCATTTTGGACATGCAAGGGCTCTAATGCAAGCAAAGAAATGTTTTCCAACCCCRGTGTACTTGATGGTTGGAGGTTAGTGTACCATTGGGTACTGTGTTAAGATTCAATTAAGCCAGTCAGATGCTAGAATAATTTATATATTTGGCTTGTAAACAATGTGATAGAAAGATAYGTTGCCTATCTAGAACTATCATACTATCATTAGAAATTGAGTTAACTAATACATGTGCTATTTTGTTGTCTCAGTGTGTAGTGARGAGTTAACTCATACCAATAAAGGTTTTACAGTGATGACTGAAGATGAGAGATATCAGTCATTGTTGCATAGTAGATACGTTGATGAAGTAATCAGAGATGCACCATGGACAATTGATAAAGAGTTCATTGATTTACACAAGGTAAACTAGCAGTTACATAAATCTATGGTGCTTTCTCCCYAAGGATGTTGMCAAGAGATTAGCAAAAAATTCAAACTTAGCCATTTTGTTGTTTTTCCTTTGCATTTCTGGTGTTTCAGGCTGCTCTGAACATTAGTTATTTATAAAAAAAAAGTCTTTTAAAGTACGCTATTGTATACTAGGCATCTTTTAGCACTCTTTCAAAGCTTTACTTCCAATGCCCTAAAGTTTGCAAAGAAATCCCATCATTTGAGTTATTGCAAGACATCTGCCATCTTGATGCTTTTATTAATACTATTATGCACTTTGGCAAAACACATTTTTATTTATTTTTTCCTGTTATTTGGTGAAGATTGACTTTGTAGCTCACGATGACATCCCATACAAGTCTGCTGGTGCTGATGATGTATATAAAGATATTAAAGCCATGGGGAAGTTTATACCTACACAACGAACAGAGGGGATATCCACCTCAGACATCATTGCCAGGGTTGTCAAAGATTATGACGTGTATCTAAGAAGGAACTTATCAAGAGGGTACACTGCRAAGGAATTGAATGTTGGCTTTATGAAGGTGATTATCATATTGATATTGCAATTATGATGATATTTTCAAGTCACCTTCTTTGATATTTACCTGAACTGAATCAACTGAGAATCAATTATAATATAGCTCTTTTTATTTCCTAATAATATTTTACCCTCATYCCTTTGATGTGTTACTACTTCTTTTAGGAAAAGGAAGTTTTAGTGAGGAATAAAGTGGATGAACTCAAGGGAAGAATCAACAACAAGTCACAAGAYCTTTTGGAAAAATGGGAAGAGAAGTCGAGGGAATTCATTGGTCATTTTATTGACATTTTTGGACGAGACGGTCACCTGGTAAGCCTTGTGAAATCCTTTAGTAAAACCAGRTTGTTTGAAGAGGACAGTGAAAAATTAAATGGAAATGAAAAATAGAATAAGATGAACAAAGGAATCAAGTGCAATATCTTGAAAAGAAGAATCTTATTTTTTGAAATGAAAATGGAAAAATTGTTGGCATCTGTTTTTTGCTTCTAGTGAACTGTACATTGTTTGTTGATAACCTGTATATAACATTTTGCTAACATTTACTTAGGATTGTATCTGATATATCAGATGTAAAATAGTCACATGCTCGCTTTTTTCAATTRGCATAATTGTTTGTTTACAAAGAACATGAACATTTAAGTTAAGRGAATACTTGGCAAGAATCAAGATGCTCTAATGTCAGAAAAGTCAATGCTCTGATTGATGAATGTCCTTAGTCTATAATAGGAAGGCACACGTGAAGAGGTAGCTTGTTTAACATGGTGTAGATAATATAAAATTTCAGGGCTGAGTTTTTCAAAGCCTCATTAGCATTWATTGAGGCTTTTAAAGGGACACTGTCAATGGCACACATGCGCGAGTAAACTTGAAAACATTAGGCTAGTGTTTTCAAGT